ATAGCCCTTCCATGTGCCAGGCAGTGTTCTAGCACTTTCCAAATACTAACCTATTTAATCCTCCAACCTAGGAGGTAGGTCCTGTTATTATCCATTTTTCTTTTTTTTTTTTTAAATATATTTTATTGATTTTTTACAGAGAGGAAGGGAGAGAGATAGAGAGTTAGAAACATCGATGAGAGAGAAACATCGATCAGCTGCCTCCTGCACATCTCCTACTGGGGATATGCCTGCAACCCAGGTACATGCCCTTGACCGGAATCGAACCTGGGACCTTTCAGTCCACAGGCCGACGCTCTATCCACTGAGCCAAACCGGTTTCGGCTATTATCCACTTTTCATATGAGGAAACTAAAGCTCAGAGAATTTAAGTTGACTCACCCAGGATCACACAGCTACAGGGCTGGGGTTCAAACCCCATCAACTGGCTCTGGAGTCTGTGCTTATAACTGGCTCATGAAGCCTGGCTATCTCTGAACATTTTTCTTGTCTTTCTTTTCTCCCTCTTTCCTTTCTTGCTTCTCTCCCTCTTTTTCCTTTCCTTTCCTCCATTCTCTGCTTCCTTCCTGTCCCTGAGCAGCTGCCACCTGCTTCCCCTGGCCACCACCCAGCCTGGCACACCCTTTGTCAATTCTCTAGACCAGGCCCTGCCCTCCTGGGCCCTGCCAGTCCTTCCGTCAATACTCTCATTTCTCTGTGCCAGCGTATGAGGTATGCCAACCTCTACCCCCTCAACCTGTCTGCTCACGACTGCAGCAGCAGTTGGCAGAGGCCTGGGGAGCTGGGGTTTGGGCCAGCCTGGAGGGAAGCCAGATCTTCAGGGAGTTACATGCTGTGCTGCACACCTTCCCCTGACGTACACTTATCCACATCATGATTTCTCTTTCCTGCTCAGGGATTTCAATGTAATGCAAAGATTCTTGTGCTGCTTGGGGAAAACTTAGATAATAAGGGGCCAGAAACAGAGATATGAAGAGAGAGGTAGAGAAAGGGGAGAGAGAGAAAGAGAGAGAGAGAGAGAGAGAGAGAGAGAGAGAGAGAGAGAGAGAGAGAGAGAGAACACTAAGCTGGAAGGCAAAGGTGAAGAGAGCCAGCTACCCAAGGTTCTGCTATTAGAAGTGGCTCGCTGCAGTGCTGGGAAAAAGGAGGAGTGCCTCAATAACATCACTCTAAGTGTGAATTAATTTTTCTAAGTTTCTCAAAGGACACATGTCCTTCCCCATGACCAAGCCTCTGCATAGCCGTTCCCCTGGCCTGGAGGGCCCTCCTGACCATCTCTACCTGAGAGCTCTGCTCATGTGTTGCCGCCTCTGGGAAACCTTTCCTGAATTCCTACAGGGGATTTCCTCAGCCTTCCCTTTGATGCCAGAGCATCTGCTCACATGTGCGCCTCTCTCTCTCTCTCTCCCTCCCTCTTAATTGCCTTATGAACTGCTGTCTTCCCTGCCACCTATAGCCTCCTTGAAGACTGAGACCATCTTGCTGATGCCGATTCTCCTCACACCCTCTATCTCTATGCTTGGTACATGGTTGGTCCCTGGAAAATGCTAAGAGATACAGGAAGGCTCAAAGACCAGGCCTTCACAGAGGAAGGAAAAGTGGGGGTTATGCAAGTCTCAAGATGAGATGACTCTGGATACAGCACTTACCAGCTGTGTGACCTTGGGCAAGTCACTTAACCTTTCTGTGCCTCATATTCCTCACAAATAAAATGGGAACAATATTAGTCTGTACCACATAGGGTTGTATGAGCTAAGACATGTAAAGCACATAGAACAATGACTGGCATATGCAAATCACTCAGTAAACATTAGTTGCTGTTGTTCTAATTAAAATGAAACTAGTAACAGAATTGCCTAAAAATTTTAAGTAACAAAAGTGATTTTGATAAACTGTAAAGCACACAGGAAGGTCTTTGCCACCACCAGTTTAAAAAATCTCAGTCGAATAGCAGTGGCTGATCCAACATGATTTCCAGAATTAATTCCTAAGCTGCAGGCCACATTGCTACTTTTTTTTGAGAAAATGAAATGGTGAGTGTGACACTGGCTTTTCTAAATGATAGAACGACAGACAAAATCATGGTGGTTTAATAAAAGGTTCATCACCTGGCTAAATGCATGGCCAGTTCTGGGACTTACCCAGCTCCAGACACTCAAGAAGGTGTTTTCACTCCCCAAGAACTGGCTACCAGGAGCCAAGGCAGGAGCTGGTGATAGAGGCAGAGCTGGGTCTGTTGTTTTGCTTTTGACAGGTTGGAAAGTCTCTTGTTTGTGCCTGTACACAAAGGCGAGTCACTGTCCCCTCTTGCCAACCCTGTAAAGTTAAAAAAAAAATTTTTTTTTGGCTATCAGATTGAGGAAATAAAAGAGCACAAAAGTCTTTGGAAACCATTTTATCTGTACAGATGGGAAAGTTGAGGCCCAAGGAGGGGAAGAGACCTGTTGAAAGACACACGGTAATGTGTGGTCAGGGCTAGAACCCAGGGCCCAGGACCCCTAGCTCACTGCCCTTCCATTGTCAATTGCCTTCCCAAGTCTCAATGCTCCCCATGCTAAGAGCCCGTGTCCTTAAATGGAAGGTGATAGGGGCCCAGCAGAATCAGTGCTCCTGCTCAGAGGTAGAGCCACACTCCAGCTCCCCATCCCCAGCCTCTTCTGTCCCTGGCAACCACCAATTTGTTTTCTGTGTCTATGAGCTCAAGTTTTGTTTGTTTGTTTTTTAAAGATTCCACATATAAGTGAGATTGTATGGTATTTGTCTTTCTCTGTCTGACTTACTTCACTTAGCATAAATGCCTTCAAAGTCCATCCATGTTGTCCCAAATGTCAATCATTTTTTGTGGCTGAATGATATTCATATATAAATATATATAATATATATGTCAATATATATGTCAATATATATGTCTATATATATATATATATATATATATATATATATATTCTTTTTCCATTTATCCATTGATGAACACTTAGGTTGCTTCCATATCTTGGCTATTATAAATAACTAGAGGACCGGTGCACGGATTTGTGCACCGGTGGGTCCCTCAGCCTGGTCTGCGGACATCCCCTGAGGGGTCCCGGATTGCAAGAGGGTACAGGCCAGGCCAAAGGACCCCACCATTGCACGATTGGGGCCAGGAGGGACTGCAGGAGGGCTCCAGGGTGTGTCCAGCCTGTCTAGTCTAGTCCCAATTGGCTGGACCCCAGCAGCAAGCTAACCTACTGGTTGGAGCGTCTGCCCCCTGGTGGTCAGTGCACATCATAGCAACTGGTTGAATGACTGGTCAGACACTTAGCATATTAGGCTTTTATTATGTAGATACTGCAATGAATGGGGGAGAGGGTAATATATATCTTTTTGAGTAGTGTTTTCATTTTCATCAACTAAATGCCCAGAAGTGGAATTGCTAGATCATATAGTTCTATTCTTAATTTTTTGAGGAACCTCCATACTGTTTTCAATAGTGATTATATCAATTTACATTCCCACCAACATTGCACAAGTGTTCCCTTTTTCCACATCTGCCAACACTTATCTCTTGTGTTTTTTATAATAGCTGTTCTAACAGGTGTAAGGTGATATTTCACTGTAGATTTTTTTGGTTGTTTTGTTTGCTCTTTGTCCATGTGACAATTACACCATATGCTGTGCCCCCACCCAGTTTTATTGAGAAATAACTGACATACATCACTATGTAAGTTTAAGACATACAGCATGATGTACATATACTTGATTTACCTATATTGTGAAATGATTACCATAATAGATTTAGCTAACATCCATCTTCTCTTATAGACACAATAAAAATAAAGCCAAAAAACGTTTTATCTCTTTGTGATGAAAACTCTTAGGGGTTACTCTTACCATACAGCAGTGTTAACTACAGCCATCCTGTTACCCATGACACCCCTACTACTTATATATCTTATAACTGGAAGTTTGTACCTTTTGACCACCTTTCTCCAATTCTCCCTCCCCTAATGGTTTTGCTCTGCATTTGAAAATGCCAGATCTGAGCATACTGCACACCCTGCAGATGGATACTCCCTCTCGTTCTAAGTCCTCATTCTCCTGTGGTTCTAACACGGGTCTTTCTTTCCACTGAAGTATGGTACCAATTTGCTTTGTTTAACAATGGACAGGTTATTTTGATTTTCTGAATTATATAAATCATCCCATTTGATTAAATGCCTTATTGATTGTAATGTGAATATCCCATGGGTTGTGGTCATCCTGGTCTTAGAAAGCACATTTTTCCTTCACCTGGGAAGGACAGCACAGTTATCCCAAGGTCAGAAGGCTCCAGTTAATGTATCCTTGTTGACTCAGTGTTCCAGAGACCCAAAACTGTAATTTAGATACCATGCCTAAGTTTAACCCAGGCTCCTCATTCCAGACCCGAGGGCTCTAGATAATGTGTTTCTGTCAATTCAGTGACCCCCGAGACCCAAAACTATAATTAACATGCTGCTTCTGTTTCTGTAAACTGCTTTTTGCGAGCCAGGTTCCTCATTCCAAACCCTGGGATGTAATCAATACCTTTGTGATTTTTTGCCTATATAACCTTGGAGCTTCGACCATCTTGTTACTATGAGATTTGGGGAATGGCCCCTCATAGTCCTGGTTTGCAATAAATGTGACTCTTTAATTCGACTTCTTGAGGCGTCTTTCTGTGATTCCCCGGGTACATTACAACACCGCATTCTCTAACTCTCCCGAATATTCCTTTTATCTCTAGCTCTCGGGAACTTTAATTGACGTGAATTAATTTAGAACTGTAGTTGGGGTTGGGGTAGGAGGTGTTAAGTCCCCACCCCACCCCTGCTGCCTCATTCATTGCACCCCCGTTTCAGTTTCCCCACCAGTTCAAGGGGAGGAGGGGTAGGGGCTGACTTGAATGCACTGAACGTGAGCACCTGGGACGCCCAAACGTCTTCTTACGGCGCCTGCGCGGAAGCCGCCGGGCGCCCATCGAGGACTCGGAGCTCCTCGCTCAGCCTGCCTTCCGGTTTCCGCGCCGCCGCAGGTGCTCCTGTCGAGCGCCGAGCCGCCGATGGAGATGGCGTCCGCGGCTGTGTGAGAAACCGTGGAGGCCCAGAGCCTGGGCGGAGACCTGGCCGGGCCTGCGAGCCCGCGGAAGCCCGACCGGGTACAGAGGGTCGGCCAGGCCTGGCCCCAGGGGCGAGGGGCGCGGCTCCCTCAGGCGCGGGGACGGGCGGGCGCGCGGGTGTTGGATGGTGTGGCTGTGGTGGGTGTGCCGCGCCTGGTGGGCGATGTGGCTTTCGGGCCGCACGGGTCGCCCCTGGGTGCTTGCCTTGAGTGGGCGCTGCTGGGCTGTGTGGTTACGCGGGGCGTGTGCAGTTGTGTTTGGTTGTGTGGCTGAGGGGCGGCGGTGTGTTGGGGCCTGAGTTTGTGTGGGGTCTGTGTGGTGTGTGGAGTTGTCATGTCTGCTCTGTGGGGCGAGTCTTCCGTGTTGTGTGTGGTTCTGCCGCCTGTGCCTACTCGTGTGGAGGCGGGTTTTGTGCGACTTTGAGGCCGTGGTGGACGCCGCTGTGTGATGTGTAGCCTGGTGGGCATGTGGCCGCGTAGCATTCGAGCTGGTGGGATAGGAGCCGGACGGCTATGCGTTATTTTGAGGACGCGCATACGTTATGGTTGTGGGGTCTGGTTTGGGGCTTTGTGATAGAGCGCGGTTGGCGGTGATGTTTGGTCACAGGATCTTAGAGTTTCATCGAATTTCTTCGCGATTTGTGCCAGGCGCTGGGCGAGACCTTGCGGATGTGCTGGTGGGGAAAACTTCCGCCGTCTCTTTAGGCGGAGCTCAGTGCTGTGAAGCAGGGCAGGGGCTGCCCTGTCAGGTGGGAGGAGGCCCTGGCGACGGGCATTTCCTGAGACCCTGAGGCTGGGTAGAGGTGAAGGTTGTGTGTGTGCCTCGCGGTCGTTCGGGGAGAGCGCCCCGGAAGGAAGGCGCTCTGGGGGTTAAAGCCCAGAGGACCCCGGGCTGGGAGGGGACTGGGCTGATGTGTCGGTGACCGCCTAGGAGAGGGGCCGAGATCTGCTTGTGTGCAGCCAGTCACGGGGCTTCTTCACCGGAAGGAAAACACAGGGGCCCGATGTGCCATTTGTTTATTTTCTGGGTCCCTGTCACCCTGCCCCGCTTCACCCGCCAGACAGTTCTCTCTCTCTCTCTCTCTCTCTCTCTCTCTCTCTCTCTCTCTCTCTCTCTCTCTCTCTCTCGTCGAGCTCTGCGGGAGGAATGTCTCTGCATTTGTGGAATGGTTTTGTCTGGGTTCTCCTTGTGGCCGGGTGTCTTTCTGAGGTGACATTGGAAGTGACTTTGCCATGGCCCAGTAAAACTGAGAATGTAACTTGTTAAGCCTTAAATTGTTCAAGCACCAAGTCTTTTTAGTCTTTAAAATCTTTATTGTGTGGTTTTTAAAAATATATATTTTTATTGATTTCAGAGAGGACGGGAGAGGGAGAGATACAAACATCAGTGATGAGAGGATCATTGATCGGCTGCCTCCTGCACGTCCCCTCCTGGGGGTCAAGCCCGCAACCAGGCATGTGCCCTTGACGGGAATCGAACCCGGAACCCTTCAGACCGCAGGCCAACGCTCTATCCACTGAGCCAAACTGGCCAGGGCTGGTCTTTTTATTTTTGAGGCAGTGAGAACATTAGGCTGCCTGCTCAACTGTCACTTACTGGTTTATAAAATCTAGTAAGTTCACTGGAAAGAAAGTGCTGTACAAATAGAAAACACAAAATAGATTTTTCTTGCCCTGGCCAGAGTGGCTCAGTTGGTTGAGCATCGTCCCACGCACAGAGAGGTCACCAGTTCCATTCCCAGTCGGGGGCACATGCTGGGGTTTCAATTGATCCCCACTAGGGGGCATGCAGGAGGCAGCTGATTGAAGTTTCTCACATTGATGTTTCTCTCCCTCTCCCTTCCTCTCTAAAAAAAAAAAAAATCAGTAAAAATGTTTTTTAAAAAGATTGTTCTTTTTTTAAAATATATTTTATTGATTTTTTACAGAGAGGAATGGAGAGGGAGAGAGAGTTAGAAACATCGATCAGCTGCCTCCTGCACACCCCCTATTGGGGATGTGCCCTCAACCAAGGTACATGCCCTTGACCGGAATCCAACCTGGAACCCTTCAGTCCCCAGGCCTACGCTCTATCCACTGAGCCAAACCAGTGAGGGCAAGATTGTTCTTTTTGACCACTAGGTTTCTAATGCTCTCCTTACACTGATGTTGGGAATTTTGTTCAGTTTGGTTTTATTAGGGCAGACCCAATCTTTCTAATTGTTGTGTTTTTTTAACACAGGTGCAAGAGCTCGATGTTTGTGGTTGAATAAATGTTCAGGGTACAGAGAGTCAAAGGAAAACTTCAGTTTGTTGATAAGTACTTCAGACATTTCCCCTGTGGCTATACACTTTTCTGACGTTGGACCATTTGGAACAAATGTTAGAGAATTGCCTTAGTATTGTGTTTGCTGTTGAAGTTGAATTTTCCTTTTTAGCTTCAAGAATCTGTGTTTCCCACTTTATTGAGTTTCCATTGTCCTGTGATGTTCTCATATCTTAGGTTTTGTGTTTTCATCTAAGGATTTGAGAAAGCAGTTTGTGTTCTCAAACTTCTGCTGAGCAAACATTAAAGACCCTTATTGAATTGGGGCCGGGGGGGGGGGGATTCTCAATTCCTGCTAATTTGCCTGATTGACTTAACCCCCCTCTCTTATTTCCTTTCTCAAGGCTTCTCGTGTTCCAGAGAGGAAGCCCTGTCCACGGCCATGATGCCACTTCCCCATCATCTGTGTGCTGCTGGGTTAAGCTAATGCTGCGGGAGCCTTGTTCCTTGTGGAGGAATCAGGCTGACTCTTGACATGAGGCCCCTGCATTGTGGGGGTTGAGAGGGATACTCCCATGGCTTCTCTGGATGACCCAGGGGAAGTGCGGGAAGGCTTCCTCTGCCCTTTGTGCCTGAAGGACCTGCAGTCATTCTATCAGCTCCAGACACATTATGAGGAAGAACACTCCGGAGAAGACCATGATGTCAAAGGGCAAATTAAAAGTAAGAGGGGAGGATCTTGCTTATCCCGTTCTGTCAGTGGGAGCTTTAACTCATGGGATAATTTTCATCAGCTTCCATGTTGCCACCAGAACATGATAATCATAAATTAATAATAATAGTCACAAACATATATCTAGTGCTTACCATGTGCCAGGCATTGCTGAAAGTCTCCCTGTATATTAACTTCATTTAATCCTCTCAATAGCTATGTGCCTATGAACCCAGTTCTACTGATGAGGGTATCAGACACAGATTAGATAACTTGCCCTAAAGGCACACAATTGGGCAGAGCTAGGCTTTGAACCTAATAAACACAATTACTGTGCTCTGCTGTCTCCTGCTAGGCTGTTTAAATGATCTAACTGCCAGCCTATGAGGGTTTTGGAGTTGGATTCCTTTCCTTTGCTTTGAAAGTGGAGGCACATTACTGACTTATTGTCACAAATTCAAGCCTTCCTGCCATCCTTCTTTCTTCAACTAGACCTTGTCCCCTGCAGCCCAGGAAAAGGAAGGTCATAGTTGAAAAACAGAAAAACAACCTAAAAAGTTAAAACTTGGTTTTTGACCTTCCAAGGACTCAGGTCCTGGAGAGTTGCAGAAATAATTTTTCAAAGTAATTTTGACTATATGTAGTGTTCATTTCCTGGACTTCAGATTGAAATCCCTAAATACAATGCAGCTGCTCTGGAACTCACTTTTTAGTGATTCCGCTAACCTGCTTACAGCTGGTAGCATTTCTGAAGGCAATGAGACAAAGGATCTGGATGCTATATTCACAGATCTTTGTTGGGTGGGAGAAAGGAATGGTCATGTATTCCTAAGTGTACTTTGGCCTCCACACATGTGAATCACATGCACTCTCCAATCAAATAGTCACACTCTATGTTACATGTTTTAGTTCAGAAAAAAAGAGTTGCTGAAAACATTGACACTTATAACTTCTGTCCAAATACATTGCAATGTAAAACATTTTCAAAATCCTGAGGCCTGTGATGGACCAGCTGGATTCTGACTGTAGAGGCTGGTGCAGAGTTATAACCATTAGGAAACCCCCCCCCCCAAAAAAAAAAAAAACCCCACAAAAAACAACACCCAACTTTTGCACGTACAGTTCTCAGAGTTCTTTTACATACGTTATTTCATTTGACTCTCCTAGCAACCCTGCAACAAGGTGGTTGGTCTCATTTTACAGAGAAAAAGTGAGGCTCAGAGATGCATAACTTATCCAAGGTCACAGAGGAATTGGCAGAGCTAGGCTTTGAACCCAGGTCTTCTATCACCTCTAAGTCTAATAATGCTGTTCCTTCCACATGGCATCACTGCATATACTGCAGCTGGAAAACAAACACATTATCTAAATTTCCTTTGGACAACTGAAGGGCCTCCATGATTTTCAATGCGTGTCCAGATGTAGCATCAGCTGAACTGGGTCATATATTGTGATATCACTAATACTTTGGTGCCAGTGGGTAGAGAGGTTATAGAATGTCCTCAGATTTCTTTTATAATACCCCCTTTATTAGAGGAAAAATATTTAAGATTATTTAGGGAATAATAGATATGAGAATCTAGATAATACTACATAGAGTGGAAATTTCGTTCCTTGTGAAAGAAACTTCAAAGTATTCACTTGTTTTTTCTCCTTCCACCCCCCCCCTCCCCCCTCAGTCTCTACTAAGAGATTGAGGTAAGCATTCTTTAGTCAGGGAAGAATTCTTAATTATGTTGTAATTTTCTCTATTTCAGAATCAGGAAAATAAAGTTTTAAAGATGGATATCAGAGATTTTTGAGAAATTCTTTGAGAAGAGGAACACCTCTCCATTTGGTCTTTTGATTATTTTAGAAATTTTATGACATTGCTAATTTAAGCAAATGAAATATTAAAACCAAAAGAGTGAACCTTGGTTTCAGGTTTTGGAGGCAGTTTAAATAAAATATAAACTTGTCATTACTAAAAAGTGGTCAGTGGGTTTGGGCTCCAGCCCCGTTTCAACGTCAGTTTAGCACATCTACATAGAAGAAAAGGTGGTTGAGAATTAACTTTGGCTTCTGCCTTGTAAGTGTTTTCTAAAATCATATGGGCTTGTTCTTAATTGGGCCCCCTTGAAGGGCTACACCTACCCTGGTGAGATCACCAGGTTTTTCTATGCCTCCTAAAGGCTACAGGGCATGGTCTGCCTGTTTAATTCAATACAGTTTAGTCTTGTTTGCAAAAACGAGTTGATGTTTTCTAACTTCAGTTTCCTGTCTCCGAAACCCTTTGTTACATCAGGTACTTTCCTCTCTCCTGTTGTAAAGAACACTACTTGATATATTTTAGAGGGTGTCCTTTAGCTCTGGAGGACCTTATTTTTCCAGTTGGAGAAAGCCATACCAGAGTGACTGATAAAGAATCAGCTTATTAGCCTGAATGGACATGTCTATAACCTTGTTAATTTCACCCCCCCCCCCCCACCCAAGCCCCTCCATATCTGCATTTACATTTGAAAAGCTATGGGAGTGGTTTTGTTTGTTTGTTTTTTAAAATCCTCACCTGAAGATATTTTTCCCATTGATTGTTTTAGACAGAGTGGAGGGGAGGGAGGAGGTGGGGAAAGAGAGAGAGAGAGAGAGAGAGAGAGAAACATTAATTGGTTGCTTCCCACATGCACTGCGACCAGGGTGGGGGATAGAACCCACAACTGAGGTACTGCCCTTGACTGGGAATCAAACCATGTGGGCCAATGCTCTAACCACTGAGCAACCGGCCAGGGCTATGGTTATATTGTATTAAATCTGATATTTTCTACTTGATTCTAGTGGCAAAAACGGATAGCAGGCACCCAAGATTTAAGAGCATTATGAGAGCAACTTAGATTTGAGAATTCTTTTTTCCACCAGTTGACTGTTGTTCTATTTTGATAGCAGGTCCTCTCACCTCAACTGAGGTGGCTGAACTCCTTTCTGCAGAGGCACAGTTTTGAAATCAATGCTGGCTCGGAAGAACTGAGGCTCTTGTTTCAGACATGAGGTTTCCAGTTCTAACCCTGGTGCCTGTAAGCTCTGATCTTTTCCCCTCTTTGATGTCACGTCCTCATTTGTAAGTAGGGATATCACCTGCCTCATAATGTGAGCATGAACTGGCGTAAGGTATTTTTGAAAGTACTTTGCTAGCTCTAGCCGGTGTGGTCAGTGGTTAGAGCATCAATCCTCCCACCAAAGGGTTGTGGTTTTGATTCCTGGTCAAGGGTATGTACCTGGGTTGTAGGTTTGATCCCCTCCATGTGTGGGAAGCAAGCAATTGATGTCTCTCTCTTTTTTAAAAAATTATTTTTTAATATGTTTTTATTGATATTTAGAGAGAGAGGGAGAGGGAGATAGAAATCTCGATAAGTCAGGCCAGTGTGGCTCAGTGGTTGAGCTTCAACCCATGAACCAGGAGGTCACAGTTTGATTCCCGTCGGGGCACACGCCTGGGTTGCAGGCTCAATCCCCAGTAGGGGGCATATAGGAGGCAGCTAACTGACAATTCTCTCTTATCATTGATGTTTCTGTCTCTCCTTCTCCCTTCCTCTCTCTAAAATCGATAGAAACATATTTTTAAAAAAAGAAACATCGTCAAACTGCAGCGGGAAGGCCGGGGAGGGTTGGGGGGCAGGAAGGAGGGGGGTAAGAGATCAACCGAAGGACTTGTATGCATGTATATAAGCATAACCAATGGACATAAGACACTGGGGGGTAGGGGAGGTCAGGGGATTGTCAAGGGCGGGAAAAAGAAAGGTCACATATGTAATACCCTTTGTAATACTTTAAGCAATAAAAAAAAAAAAAAAGTAAAAAAAATAAAAACATCAATGAGAGAGAAACATCAACATCTATAAAGCAATGGAAAAAATATCCTCGGGTGAGGATTAACCAAAAAAAAAAAAAAAAAAAAAAAAAGGAAAGAAAGTACTTTACTTTGTGCCTGGTACATATAAGGAATTAATTCAGGAAACATTCATTTTCTCTTTTTTACCACTAGATGTGTTGTGTTTTAAGTGTTATATCTGTTTCTTGAAGCTTTTTGTCAATATTATCACACATACATTTGGTAAGTGAGTAGAGGAAAAAGAATTCTATGTACAGTTAAGCATTATGAGAACATAGCCCAAGGATGATGGTTTGGCTGAATCTCATCCTGGAGGTAAACAAGAAGAGTTTACTCATGAATCCCTAGGGTAAATACATTAGTATTGATTTAAAAAACTTTAATTGAGGCTTAGTTTACACATAAGCTTTTAAGTATATAATTCGGGGAGTTTTGAAAATTGTATATCCTCATGTAACCACCTCTCCAATTAAGATATAGAAAAAAATACTTCCGTTACCCTGGTCCCCTCACTGAAATTGTTTTTAACACTTTCATTTAATTGGACTTCTTACATTTCCTGCTAATACTGAGAAGTGAATAGATTGCTCTGGTATTTGTAGTATAGTGGTTGAATGCTTATTGTATTTTATTTGGGATCCAGAATTTTCTTGAGCATTTAAAAAAATATATCTTTATTGATTTCAGAGCAGAAGGGAGGGGGGGACAGAGATAGAAACATCAATGATGAGAGAGAATCATTGATCTGCTGCCACCTGTAAGCCCCACATTGGGGATCGAGCCCACAACTCTGGCATGTGCCATTGACCAGAATCGAACCTGGGACCCTTCAGTCCACAGGCCGACGCTCTATCGGACACTGAGCCAAACCGGCTAGGACTTGAGCATTTTTTATATAAAGCATAATTATTTCTTTAACTCTTGTGTTTAGAGATCTCCCTCCACTCTTTACTGACTGTTTTTTATGGACTCATTTATGGTGTTTTTCTTCTATTTTTCAAGGTCTTGTTCAGAAGGCTAAAAAAGCAAAGAACAGGCTGTTAAAACGAGAAGGAGATGACCGAGCAGAGTCAGGGGCCCAAGGATATGAGTCTTTCAGTTATGGAGGGGTTGATCCTTACATGTGGGAACCCCAAGAGCTTGGTAAGAAACGCTCTTCATTCATTCAGCAAATGTTTATTGAGCAAATGCTTATTGAGCATCTCTATGTTCTTGGTAATGTCTTAAGAGTTGGTTGAAGAGGCATCAGCAAACCAGAATGGTCTAAGCTTTTTGTGGACCTTATGTCTAGTGTAGTGAGAGGGAGAAAATGGACAAGAATGAGCTGAGCACCTCCCTTGTGTTAGGCACTGCATTAAATGCTTCCCATGGGTGCTCCCATGGGTGCTCTCATTTAACACTCATCACACCCCTTGGGTACCTGCCCAGGATCAGACACTGGAGTAGGGATCCACGTCTGTGACATCAATCCAGGCACAGATTCCACTGACTGGACTGTCTCCTCTCACATAGGACATTACCTGCCTACTGAGAGGCACTGGTTTGCGCAGTTAATTTTATGAAACACATAATTATGGTACCATATATTTTAAAAATAATCATCTTTTTTGAGTTGATGAAAATATTCTAAAATATGTTTTGGTAATGGTGGCACAACTCTGGATAAACTAAAAACAATTGAATTTGTACACTTCAAATGGTGAATTGTATTTATGTGACTAATATTTCAGTAAAACTGTTACCAAAAGACCATGCTGCACAGAGATGAACTAGCTAATCTTACATGTGCTTTTTTATATTTTCATATTCATTATCTTGTTCACCTTTTACCCAAAGCCTTGTGAGATAGAATGCATAGTGACGTTCATTCCCACTTATATATGAGGAAACAGGCTTTAAAAAGGGAAATACTTACCCAGGGTCATTTATCATATTCTTATAGTGCCACTACAGAATGTGTCTTTTTGAATGAAGAAAGTTCTAGAACTGCACTGTCCAATATGATAGCCACTAACTACTAGTATATATAGCTATTTAAATTTAAGTAAAATTAAATAAAATTAAAAGTGAGTTTTCCAGCCATACACTAGCCACATTTCAGATGCTCAATCTCCACATGTGGCTAGTGGCTACCATATTGGGAAGTAGAAACATTTTCATCAAGTCAGGAGAAAATGGCTTTAAAAATAATACTATACACATGTAATTATGAGTTATATCTGAAAGCCAATTAGAAACATGAAAGAGAAATTTCAGATATGTGAATTATTTTAGCTTTTTAAAAAATATGTTTTTTATTGATTTTAGAGAGGAAACGAGAGAGAGAGAGAGAGAGAAACATCAATTGGCTGCCTCCTGCATGTCCCATACTGGGGATTGAGCCCACAACTCCAGGTATGTGCCATGACTGGAAATTGAACCTCTGACCTCTCAGTACATGGGAGAGCATTCAAACAACTGAGCCATACTGGCCAGGGCCTTATTAGCTTTTTTGATAACTTATTTCATGATAGCTAATGTTAAATTATCAGGGTGATTTTCTGAATAATTTGCCTGTTTCAATAGCTGAAGGAAGTCACAAATTTTGGGAAGGTTAAGCAAATGGCAAATTTTAGAAGTTAATATTTACAGTCACCCCTAAGAACACGAAAGTAAATTTTAATTAGAGTATGGTTAGAGAAGGAAATATACATGGATGCTTTCCTAGTTTTTGAATTTTTAGATTGTAAAATCCTAGAATTTTTACTTGTTTTTAAAATTTATTGAGGATAAGCAGCAAAGTAGAGAGGCTTCCTCAGAGAAATGACAAGTCATATATCTCTCACCTCCTCTCCTTCTAGGTGCTGTGAGAAGCCATCTTTCAGACTTTAAAAAACACCGAGCTGCCAGGATTGACCACTATGTTGTTGAAGTCAATAAATTAATAATCAGGTTGGAAAAGGTAAATTTTGCTGTTTTAAAACACCTTTTTTCTGAAGTATATATTTTCTGGGGGAAAATTACATTTCTGCAGCATGTGTTATGTAGATTGTATATATTGGGTGCTGGCAGTGTCTGATGTTGACAGAGCAATGCCTCACCTAGAGAGGTACAGAGAATGTGGGAACAGTTATCGCTGGCTGGTTTACTGAAGGAAATAGCCCAGGTTGACAGACTTGCCACATAGCCAGTTTCCCTTTTCCTTCCTATGAACCCACCTGAACACTGCAAAACCTTTCTGTCTTCAGAGCCTTTCCTCTTCCTCTCTGGAGAAGCCTCTTGACCTTGCATAATCACACAGTGGAGCATAGTGTGTGATATCATTTCTTGGCAAACAGAGGAGCTGGTGACTAGGTCTCTGAGGAGAACTTGGTGTTGAAACATCTGGGCTAGGCCTTTTGTTCTCTGGTATGACTGCGTGTCCCATGCCACGATCACTCTGAGATGCTTGTTGTATATAAGCTGGATTGTGTGGTGGGCATGGCAGCAAACACCGGTATAGTTGTTTTTTACGTTTTTTAAATTTAATCCTCACCCGAGGACATGCTTATTGATTTTTAAAGAGAAGGGAAGGGAGAGGGAAGAGAGAGAGAAATATCGATGTGAGAGCGGAACATCTATCGGTTGCCTTCCCCTCTGCACCCCGACTAGGAATTGAACTCGCAACCCAGGTATGTGCTCTGACGGGGAATCGAACCTGCAACCTTTCAGTGTATGGGACAACACTCCAACTAACTGAGCCACACCGGCCAGGACCTGGTACAGTTCTTTATGTGTACTATGAAGGAGGGAAATATGTGGCTAGGTTAGTTGTCCAGTAGGACTGTGGGGAATCAGGAGTTCTCCATTGCTTTCAGGAGCCACCCCCATCACATCTTTGCCTACTCCTGGTTAAGATTTAAAGGGCTAACTGACAAAGAGATTGAAAGTGGGTCATAGAAAGGGAGGTGCCTTCTAGATTATCCCATGTGAAATTGCACGTGACTTTGTGGGATTGGAGATGAGAGGTGAGACTTGAGAAATGCAGATATGGTCATTTCCGCTTAATGCCTCTTGCCTGTGAAAAGTGTATCCATCACCTGATAATTACATTTGGCACTATTTTCTCCTTGTCAGCTCACTGCATTTGACAGAACGAATGCTGAGTCAGCTAAGATCCGAGGTAACTCTAAGAACTTTGCTCACATTTATTTTATTTATCTTTCTCCCTGACCGAATTTCTTTTTTAAATGGCTTGCTTTTTCATTTGTTTGGTTTTTGTTTTATTCTTTTCAAAGCAATAGAAAAGTCTGTGGTGCCTTGGGTCAACGACCAGGATGTCCCTTTTTGTCCAGACTGTGGGAATAAGTTTAGCATCCGTAACCGCCGCCACCACTGCCGGCTCTGCGGGTCTATAATGTGCAAGAAATGTATGGAGCTCATCAGCCTTCCCTTGGCAAGTAGGTAACATGGCAGCGGGACCCTAGACCCTAATCTCTTCCTGAGACTAGCTTGTTTGTTAATTATTACTGGGTGATTTTTGAACTTTTTTTGTTTAAATTAGTGGTGTTTGGGATCTTTATTCACGCACTTGTTGATTCAATGAAGCCCAGAACAGGGTAAGCACTGTGCTAAGGGCCAGGGATGCAATGGTCTACAAAAAGGGTTAGCAAACTGTTTTTGTAAAGTTCAGATAGTAAATATTTTAGATTTTGTGGGCTACATATGGTCTCTGGGACATTTCTTCTTTTTTTAAACAACTTTTTAAAATGTAAAAACCATACTTAGTTCAAGGGCCATACAAAAACAGGCTGGACTTGGCTTATAAGTCATGTTTGCCCACCTCTGGTCTTTAAGGCATTGTTCATTCCCCCAAGGAGTTCAGCATCTAGCAGGGGATATAGACTCACAAGCAGATAATTGCTTTACAAGAGATGAGTACAATAAGAGAAGTTGCATCAGGCACTCAGGAGAAGCTGACCAAATCTTTATCAGCTTTGCTTAGAAGTGGCAGATGAGGGGTTGAGAGGAGACTATAGGAGATGGTCTTAAAAATTGAGCAGCAGACTCATCCTTTTCTTTGAGATAAAAGTCACAAATGTTCATTGTCATATAGAACAGGCTGTAATGCCATAATACAAGAGACACTGAGTATTGTGGAGGCTGGGGGAGAGCGAGAGCATGGCTCCTCAAGGTCAGAAAGTGATGTTCAAGAAGAGCCTTGAAAGATGACTAGGATTGCAAAGAGATGGGGCAGGAGGACATCCTGGGTAAACAGAACCAAAGGCATGGAATTTGGAAAGGCCCTGTGGAAGGTTAGTAGATGAGCAAACAGAATATTTGGGAGAGTGTGGAAGACATTTGAGAATTGTGGGAATGAAGCTACAAAGGTTAGGTGGAACCAGATGTCCAGAACTCTGAATCTCAGCTGGTTAGAAGTTGCTCGAGATGATCTTATGGGCTTTTGGCCAATTCTGGGACATTTGGGTGGTTTTGCAACCCTGGAGAGTTCCGCTGACCTTGCATATGCTATTGGCTATGGAGCATCTGGACAACATGGGGCAGAAGCAGATGCTTCCTCTGTCCAGCTCTGACATCCACCGGCACACATTACCTTGATACTTTCCCTTTCTCCTTGAGATCGACTCTCTGTCTCACCTGAGACTTTATAAGCTCACTGTTAGACACTATTCACCTCTCTCCTTTTGGGTTAACTAACCAACATTTACTGGGCAGCTGCTATGAATTGGCCCTGTAGTATATGTAGGGATTTAAGTATGAATAAGTCATTTTTACCCTGAAAGAGTCACAGATTCCTAGTGCAGCTCAGGGATGTACATAACCTGTCATAGGGAGAAAAGTGAAAAGTTCTCCATGAGGGGCAACATGGTAAGAACTGATAGGAAAGGCAGATCATTTTTGCCTCGAGGACTATGGAAGGCCTTCCTGGAGGATATGCCTTTGAACTGAGCTTTGGAAGGTGTAGGAGTCAGGTGTTTGGGAGTGGGGAAGGCTGTCAGGACAGTCCAGGAAGAATGTGGGTTGTGTCTGAGGCGTGGCAAATGGAGGGGGCGGTAGGAGGTAAGGCTAGGCTAGGGCTGGGCCTTAGAACCTCAAAGACAGACTAGGTGGTCTGGCTCTCTCCTGGATGGCAATGGGAGTCCCTCCCGCCACAGAACCTGACCCCAGGGAGGCAGAGATATGGGTACTTCTTGCTTATAGGCAGAGCCTGCTCTTATCTCGCCAGCAGCATGGACTCCCCTCCTGTCGTGGGCAGTGGAGTGATTGGAGGCTTCAGGCTCACTGCTGCCTGTCCTGTGTTGTGCTTTACAGATAAGCTCACCAGTGCCAGCAAGGATTCTCTGAGCTCCCATACGAGCCCTAGCCAGTCACCCAACAGTGTCCATGGCTCCCGCCGGGGCAGCATCAGCAGTGTGAGCAGTGTGAGCTCCGTCCTGGATGAGAAGGATGATGACCGGATCCGCTGCTGTACCCATTGCAAGGGCACGCTGCTCAAGAGAGAGCAGCAGATTGACGAGAAGGAGCACATCCCCGACATTGTGAAGCTCTATGAGGTGACTTGCTGAGTGCAGTCCTGGGTCTGATTCGAGAGGCAGATGGGGCTGCTCATTACATCCATGCCTGCAGATTTGGGAGGATGATCTGGAAAGTTGTTTCTTTGACTCATTTTTAGTTTTTGCTAAAGGGCTTCTGTGGCATGATTTCCTAACTTAGGACCCTGGGTGAGTCACAGACACATCCTGGGTGTGTTGCCACAAACTTGTTCCCTCACTTTCTTGCCCTTTTGAAAACAGAGGTTGGAGGCTTTGGTGGCCCTGGGACAAGAGGAGAAAGGATTGTTGCCATGTGGTGTGGACAGGTTCTGTGAGTGAGGGTGGAAGCTGGAGCTGGTGGTGACAGTGGGCCAGGAGAGTCCTGTCCCCATTTAAGTCCATTCACATGCCTCAGTTCTAGAAAACCTTTAGTAGATGCTACTTTGAGAGGAACATAGTGTAGTACAAACACATGAGATTTAGTGTCAGAGAGGCTGGCCTCCCAATGGCCAAGCTGAGGGGGTAGGGAGGGAAGTGGGAAGAGATGAGGGGAGGAGATGAGCCCTGGCAGAGGAGGCAACTCATGTGAAACTCTGAGCAGAGGAACAGTGTCTGGCTAATGGCACTGAAGGGTCCCTGTTAGCAGTTCTGCAGCTTATAATGGCTGTGTTTCTGGAACCACCATGAAAATATTCAAGTTACTAAAAATGGTGTTAATTAAACCCTATGCTGAGCTGCAGGTGCAGCCATTATCCATCCTTTATGTGGAGTTCATGACCTGATAACTCATTTTGTAAGTTGCCACTGCTTTTTGCTTCTGTCTTTTTTGAAGTAAGCCTTGGCGATGCCTTGTGCTGGTGTCTTCCCTTGGCAGAGAAAGTCCAACTAATTCAAGTAATTTAGAAATTCCCACCTAAAAACAACTAATCTTTTTCTCTGCCTCTGTAAACTCTGTCTTGTGTCTTGGAAGGCCTTGTTCCTCTTTCCTTCCTGCAAGATTTTGTGCTTGTAAAGTAGGTCTGTGACTCAGGAAATGGATAACAGTAAAAAGAAACAAAAAAACCCACAAAAAATGCACTATCTGCATTTTTCTATTTTAGAAAACTATACAGTTTAAATATATCTTTGTTGATGCAGCATAACTTCTGGGTAGGCTTTTCTGTACCCTGAGAGCACCACTTACTCTTCTTTTTTGTTCTTAGAAACTACAGCTTTGCATGGAGAAAGTTGACCAAAAAGCTCCTGAGTACATCAGGATGGCAGCATCGTTAAAGTAAGCTATTCCTCTCTTTTTCTGAACCAGTGCTGACTTGTTTTAGGCATTATAGGTCAAATCTTCAGTAGCTGAAAAGGAAATCTTAACTCTGGCTGTGCTTTTCTTCTGTGACCGACCGCAGAGAATCTTTGTCATGTCTCTTTCCGTGTGGCACTGTTACCGTCCTCTGTAGCTATGTTGTGGGGACCCCAGCTACTCTGAATGGGCAAGTTGGGGAAGGGCCTCAGGCGACAGGCACCATTGCCAAGTGCAGCATCTGGAGGTGAGGAAGAGCAGTGTGTCTCCTGTTCATGCCTGGATAGATGCCACTTCAGGGTAACACTGAGGTGTCAGGGCTTAGAGCAGGCATTTCCTTTAGAGCAGGGGTTGGCAAATGCCAGCCCATAAGCCAAATCTAGCTAGCCATCTGTTGCTCCTTCTTTTTTTCTTGTTAATCCTCACCCAAGGATAGTTTTCCCTTGCTTTTAGCTAAAGTTGAAGGGAAGGAGAGAGGGAACAAGGGGACGGCAGGGAGAGAGAGAAACATCAATGTGAGGGAGACATGTGGATTGGTTGCCTTCCACATGCACCTCAACTGGGGCGGGGATTGAACCTGTAACTGAGGTACATGCTCTTGACTGGAATTGAACCCATAATCCTTCAGTATGTGGGCCGACACTCTAAACACTGAGAAACACCAGCCAGGGCTAACTCTTTTTTATATGAAGATAAAATTCACGCATCATAAAATTCACTCCTTTAAAATATACAGTTCAGTAGTTTTCAGTATATTCACAGACATCACCACTGCATTAATTTTAAAACATTTTCGCCCTGCCCTGGCCAGTTTGGCTCAATGGATAAAGCATCGGCCTATGGACTGAAGGGTCCCGGGTTCGATTCCGGTCAAGGGCACATGCCCAGGTTGCAGGTTCGATCCCCAGTAGGGGGTGTGTAGGAGGCAGCCAATCAATGATTCTCATCATTGATATTTCTATCCCTCTCTCCCTCTCCCTTCCTCTCTGAAATCAATAAAAATATATTTAAAAATCACACACACACATTTTCGCCCTGACTGGTGTGGCTTAGTTGGTTGAGCATTATCCTGTGCACCAGAAGGTCACTGGTTCGATTCCTGGTCAGTGTAAATGCCCAGGTTGCCAGTTTGGTCCCCAGTTGGGATGCATATGGGAGGCAACCGATTGATGTTTCTCACATTGATGATTCTCTCTCTCACGCTTCTTCTCCCTTCCTCGCTCTAAAGTCAATTAAAAAAACTTTTTCATCATCCTGATAAGAAACTCCCCACTTATTAGCAGTCAGAGCTCATTCCCCCTCTCCCTTTATGGAAAAAAATTGCTGACTTTTTCTTAAGAGCTTTGCTCCTTCTGAAGGGTAGTGATGTGTGAGCTAGAATTTGAGGTGCTACTACTAAGTCAGATCCCAGCAGTGTTTTCCCAGCCTTCAGAAGAAAAAATTATGGTATTCAGTGTTTTCAGTTTGAGGATTGTCTGCCTTTGTTTTAAGTCTGTGTTGCCACCTGTCATTTTTGTAGTGATGCGTGTAGGATTAGATGTGCTTTGTTTAGAATAAACCTGTATTTTTATTTGGAAACATACAGTGGCAATATTGTATAGTGGTTTCAAAAAACAAAGTGTGTCAGTGACCTTTATGATGTCAATGACCATGTTCTAAGCTCATAGTGGAACTTATATATAAAATTAACTTTTTTGTTTGTATAGTCCTTAAAGAGTTTCCTGACTCTTGAGTTTGTAAATATTTGACTTACAAAACATGAAAGACTAAATCCAGTTGTTTTGTGGCAAAAACAACCCCTTTTTTTACATCTCTTCCTGACTCTACTGTTGCTTTGGGTCTCTTCTTCCCTTCCCTGTTCTTTCCCCAATGTTTCCCAGCCCACAGGGAAGAGAATAGCAAAAAGGTAGGGAAACCATTGTAGGCCCTGTCCCAGTTTCCCTCCATCCTAACAACTAGATGTCTGCAGCCCCTGGCAGCAGACAGTGGAAGAGGAGCAAATCCTATTTCTTGAGCCCTCTCAGCCACCACTGTCCTATGGCCCCTTCCTCCTTATATTTGTACCTCCTAGACCCTGACTTTTCTCTTTCCATTCCTTAGCCAGAGCACTGTTTCTAAAGAACAGCAGGGAAATGAGCAAGAATTTCAGTCTGCCCTCTCTGTGAGCAGATTGGAAGCAGAACCCCAGGTGATTCTGACACATACCTCCCCCAAATGGAAAGTTCTTGGCATGGAGAATCCTTTTCCCTCTGGAGCTTTCTGGAATCCGCACCCCTCCTGTATCCCTGCCTATTGGTTTGACATTAGAGCAGGACTGTCTTCTACATGGATGTCAGCAAGGAGAGCTGTGTTCCTGGAAGTTTCATCTGGCACTCAGTGTTTTCCTCATGAAATTGTTACCAAGGGACTCCTCTCCCTGAGTTCTGTTGGTTTTTGCTTTGTGCCTCAGACACAATTGTGGTTCATGGGCCTTCCTAGCCAGGTGGGAGCTACCATACTGAGCACATTTCCAAATGTCCTTCTCTTCTTAGAAAGGCTGGTTCTAAAGGGCTTTACATGCATTTCATTCTCTTACTCTTTCATTCAGTGGATAGTTATCAAGCACTAGCTCTATTCCTAGCACTAATCTAGGTGCTGGGGCTGCAGCAATGAACAGTGAAGACCATGTCCACTTTTGTGGAGCTTCATTTTTGTAGGAGCACAGGCCTTATCCAAGTAAACAAATAAGGAACAGGATAACTACAGATGTGATCGTTGCTCTGAGGGAAATGCAGTTGGTTGACATAATTGCAACCAGGGGAAGTGATTTCAGATTTGGGCCAACCTTGTTATTTTCCACATGACTTGGAGATATTGAAATAAAGCACAGGTTTTCTCAATTCTAGTCCAATGTTCTTTTTTGCAGATTAAGTAGTGAAAGATAATGGAACAGTCTTACTGAATCCTCAAATTACAGCACACACCAACATTTTTCCAGCTAGGATTGTTTTATAGATGGTAAAATAGGTAAGCGCAGCAGTCCTTTCTGCTTATTTAACTTAAATTGCTGCTGCTTCAGAAGCGGGGTTGAGGGGCCAATGCTCAGGCTGGATTAATAGCTGCAAGATCTTCTGAAATGTTTCTCTTCTCAGTAAACTGATTAAGCTTGATCCATGTGCTAGTTACTGAGGACATAAAATGAAAAGCTACAATCACAGCACTTGGAATTTAAAAGTCTGGTGGGGGTGACAGATTTGTAAATGATCAATTCTAAGGCCACACAATAACTGCTGTTGTTTCTCTGAGATGGAGTTAAACCGCTTCTGGCCTTCCCTGTTATCCCTTGCTCCACCCTGGGCAGAGTTCCTCCTCCTCCTTCTGGATTTGGAGTCAAAGTGCCTTTCTCATGTAGGGAGCAGTTGTTCATGAGACCCAAGAGCATGGGGCAATTGATGCAATGCTGGGCTGCATATCGCTATTGGGGATCCCTTGATCAGCTTTCCAGTTGTTCCTGTTGTGTCTGGGTAGCCTTTGAGTGAGAAAAGCCAAGTGTTTTTCACTCTGATGTAGTGTAACCAATTCATTTAGTAAACGACGTCATGCATCTTACTAGACACAGTGAAATTGTTTAGGGGAAGTAGGCCAAAGAAGGTTAAGTTGCATTTATTTTGGTGATGAGGTTAAGAGCTAGTCCTTGAGGCCTGTGGTGTTTGCAAACTTTTGTACATTATGTGCAAAAGTCTGAAATGCCACTTGAAGAGAATTAACTGTGTGTCCCTTTGTGAGGCCTTAAATTTTAGAGTCCTCTTAGGCCAGCCGTGGGCAAACTACGGCCCGCGGGCCGGGTCCGGCCCGTTTGAAATGAATAAAACTAAAAAAAAAAAAGACCGTACCCTTTTATGTAATGATGTTTACTTTGAATTTATATTAGTTCACACAAACACTCCATCTATGCTTTCGTTCCGGCCCTCCGGTTCAATTTAAGAACCCATTGTGGCCCTCGAGTCAAAAAGTTTGCCCACCTCTGTCTTAGGCTATACTCTGTAGTCCAGCGGTTGCCAACCGGTGGTTTGCGGACCACTGGTGGTCTGTGAGGTCCGAAAGGTGGGTGACCACTGCTCTAGTCAGTGCGATGAAATGTGAAATGGCTTCTAAGTAGTATGATATTTGCTAGCAAATTGAAATAAAGATTCCAAGTGAATTCATTTTCTCAACTTTGATGCATGGACAATTAATGATTATGCCATTAACATTTTGTTCTTGAAGAAAGTAAGTGTTCAAATTCTAATTAATATACATTTACTTAATTCATACATACTGGAGACCTTTGTTTTTCAGTCATTTTAAATGATGTTGAAAAACTGTTCAGTGTGTATCTATCTACACTAATAAAAGAGAAAGATGCAAATTGACCATACCTTTGTGACGCCCACCAGCCAATCAGGAGTGAGTATGCAGATTAACCCAATAAAGATGGTAGATTCATTTGCATACGCAGGCGCCCAGCAGCTGGAGGTGGGGCAAAATTGGGGGTTCCACACTGCCTCAGCTGCTCCGGGCCTCTGGGCAGCATGGAAGGTGGAAAGGCGGCTCGTGCATTGGGCCTCTAGTATATGTGTGTGTGTGTGTGTGTGTGTGTGTGTGTGTGTGTGTGTATATATATATATATATATATATATATATTAGTAAAAGCCTAAGCAACAGTTATGACCAAATGACTGGAACAATCAGTTGACCAGTCGCTATGATGTGCACTGACCACCAGGGGGCAGACGCTCAATGCAGGAGCTGCCCACTGGTGGTCAGTGCGCTCCCACAGCCAACCCCCCACAGCCCCTCCCCCTGGCCGGCTGGCCCCCATGGGCCCCTGGTGCTAAACCATTTGTAGAGACCTGCTTCTGGGTTGGGGTTTTGTATGTAGAGAGCAGTTCCCTCGCTGCAATCTATTGAAAGTCAGCCCTCAACACAAGGGTTTGCCTTGCTCCTGTCTCTCCCTTCCCTGGGGGCCGCCCGCCCACTGCGGTGGCGGTGTGGCGGCAAGGGAAGGAAGGGGCGGAGGTGGGGAACCGTGCGGTGGCGGGGCGCCTATGGCGGCGTCAGCATCTGTTCCTTCTGCGCCCGGCCCAGCGACTGTCGCCTCCTCTTGCGACCCTGCTGGAGCCTTTGGGCCGGGCTGGGATGAGGATCGGGGGTGGGTGGCAGTGGGCGCTGCCCCTTTCCCAGGGGGTCTGAGGGCTGGCTCCCTCCTTGGGGCTGGCAGCCAACCTCCCAGGGTCCTTCCTCCAGCTGGCCAACCTCTCACGGTCCCTCCCCCTGCCCCCCATGCACGAATTCGGCCTCTAGTCTCCCTCTGTATAAAAGGCTAATATGCAACGTATCCCCTCGGGAGTTCAACTGGGAGAATGGGAGTTTGATCACTCGCTGTGACGTGCGCTGACCACCGGGGGTGGGGGGGTGTGTGGAACATGGTGGGTGACCAGTGGTGGCAGCGGGGTGCTGAAGGAGTGAGGGAAGGGGGAAGTGGGGAGGGGGGGGGGAAACTGTGTGGTGGTGGTGTGCAGGTGGCAAGGGAAGGAGGAGGTGGGGAGGCAGGGAACCTGATCGGCCCTGATCACCAGCCAGGCCTAGGGACCCTACCTGTACAAGAGTTTCGTGCACCGGGCCTCTAGTATAAGCCTGCCGGGGTCCAGCCCCAGCGGTCCAGGGGTTCCCAAAGGTGTGGACAGAGTCGGCGAAGAATGAAGGACACAGAGACAGCGTTCAGATGATCAGCATAGCTCTCTTTAGTCTCTGTGGATCTTCCTTGTGCCTGGCTGAGGCCACAGAGAGAGATCCCAAGGCAAGCTGAGCCTTTATTTTATAGTCAGAGGTAAACAAGGTAGTGGTTACCATAGTTACACTGTTCTTGTGAATTTCACTTGTTTTGCATCTCCCTCAGCCCATTAGCTTCCCAGATAAGATCTAGGGAGCATTAAAAGGTCAAGCCTAATTATGCTAAGGGGACTGTGCCCTCTAAGCTGGGACTTGTTTGTGACTTTGCCAACAGGTCAGTCTGAGGTTTAACCCTATAGCTGCTCCCCACATAAGCCATAAAAACAATTGGTAATGTGAAAATTAAACTCAGTTAATGTAACAGATTCAGTAGTCAGTAAGCTAATTTAGCTTTTCAAAGATAAGTTGTATCTAAATCTTATGAAAGCCCAATTTATCTTAATGCAATTAAATATTAAATAATTCATGATAATTTTTCCACAGTAGAAATAAAATGACTCCTGGCTGTATATTTTCTGAAAATAAAAAATGTAAAAACTTAAAATAAAAATCTCTGATTTCTCCTTAGTGCTGGAGAGACAACCTATAGGCTGGAACATGCCAATGACCTTCGGGTAGAAGTGCAGAAAGTGTACGAGCTAATAGACGCTTTAAGGTAATGTTTGGTGATGTCTTACCTGCTGCCTTGAGTGGAGGAGGTGCTATTTTAATGAGGTAGTGGGTGACTAGCAGACCTGAACTTACCCGGAGTCCTGATGACAGCAGTATTTGTAATGATGAGGCTGAGGAAGGTGTCAGCTTTGGCACTCAACACATCTCAGTAACTTTTGGTTAAGGATTTCTAGTATTCAGCATTATTATAAAGGAAGGTGAGTTTATTGAATACCAGCTGTGTACCAGGAAATATCACTGGGTATTTTCATAGAGTACAACTCATTTATCCTATCAAAGTTACCCTGTGAAGTAGGGATCAGCACCCCATTTTATAGTGAGACAATGCACCACAGCTAGCATAAGTGGTGGAGCCAGGATTGAAACCCAGATTCTTTCTTCAAATCAACAGCTACTTTTTAACTGTGGACTGGATGTTGGGGTTAAATCAGCCCTTTGCAATGTAGGAAGTACAATGACTCAGGGAAAGAACTGAGGTGAGGAATCCTTGTTCATCCGTACATGCAGGACTGGCTACGTAATTTGTGGGGCCTAGTGCAAAGTGAAAATGTAAGTTCTTGTTCAAAATTGTAAGAATTTCAAGATAGTGACAGCAGAATATTAAACCAAGCACGCGGCTCTTCTAAGCATCAGACCCATGTGTGGTTGCTCATCACTCACCCTTGAAGCTGCTCCTGCACCCATGGTCAGTCCCTCGATGGCCAAGTGTTTGTCATGTACCCTGTGCTGTGTTAGGGGCCTTGGATACAGCCAAAGGGTAAGAAATGGGCTTTGCCTTCAAGGACTTCGGTGAGCCTCTAATCTGTCTCCTCCACAAATCTTCCCAGCAGGCAAGCCTGGCAGCTCAGAGACTTTGTTTCTGAGGCTGACAGCGCTGGTTACATTGATGTGTTTGTTCCAATTCAGTAAGAAGATCTTAACCTTAGGCTTGAACCAGGACCCTCCACCACATCCAAACACTTTGCGGCTGCAGAGGATGATCAGATACTCGGCTACACTTTTTGTGCAGGTAAAGCCATCCTGGGGTGGCAGAAACATTGCACTTGCCTCCCTGCTCTTCTGCCTTTCAGGAGGCAGACCAAGCCACTGGCTTGTTCATTTCCTCTTTGACATGGATTACTTTTTAAGATTAAAAATGCATTATGCCACATTTAGAGAAAAATCTGGATTTCAAAGAAAAGTAAAAACTACTTTTAATCCTAATGTCCCCAATACCACCACCCATTATTCTGGTACATATATATTTTTTTTCCTTTTACATTTATAATATAATTGTTATAATTAGTGTTTATTTGCACATTTGTGTCTTCTCTTTTTATCACTGAATTTATATCATAGTACTTTTTTTACATGGTCCTCAAAGAGCTATCATTTGAATACTGCTACAAAGTACTGCTTTGATATATGTACCGTCCTTTATTTAATTATTCCCTTTTCATTGGACACTTGATAGATTTCCATTTTTTGCCATTATGAGTATTGCCTGTTGGATATATGTGTACATAGTATTTCTTCCTTGGGATAAGATCCTAAGGGACTTTTCCTGGGCCATTGGAAGGAAACAGCTGATTGTTCAAGGGCAGACTAAAGTTAGGTGGTTAGATCTGATTGTTTCTACCTCAGGAAGCTCCTCGGGGAGTCACATTTAACCACCTTTGGGCTCCATGAAAGAGAGACTTAATAAAGTCCTATTGGGTTAGTTTTCCAACATTGTATTGCAGAGAATTAGGCCTTTCTCCTTTTGATTAGTGGCTATATTCCACAGTCATTTGGTGAGTGTCTGCTGTGTACCAGGCAGTGTTCTAGGTGCTGGGTATCCTGCCGTGAGCAAAAAGGCAACATTCCTGTTCTCACAAAGCGTCTGTTCTAGAGAGGGGGTTAGATGAGAAACAACTAAAATATACACCTTACGTTGGAAAGTGCTGCGGACAAATACAAAGCCTGGAAAGGCTGGTGGGAAGCTCGGGTGGAGGCTTACACGTTTAGGCAGATGGGCAGGGAGAAGGCTGCATGGGGAAGGTGAGAACTGGGATATCTGGTATTGGTCATTTCATAAGGGACAGGCAGGCCCATTTGCAAGCTGACTCTCTGGTCCATTTAGGGGTTTAGTCTTTTTTTACTACTGCTAATTAATGTGACTGTCCAAGGATGGAATGGCTTAGCCTAAACGACTCTCGCCACAGGGCTAAGGTTCATTAAAGGTTTAAATGTAACATTGTCTATGAATCCCTGTAGGAAAAGTTGCTTGGTTTGATGTCACTGCCAACCCAAGAACAGTTTGAGGAACTAAAGAAAAGGAAGGAAGAGATGGAAAGGAAGAAGATGCTAGAGAAACAGGTGAGTGAAGCTCAGGGATCCGGCATCTGGCTTCCTCCCTGGGGCTCTTTTGAGCACAGAGGCCCCCCTATGCTCCCAGGAGCTCCTGTGCGGTTGTGCACCAGAACTCTTGCTCTCTCTAGTTTCCATTTGTCTTCTGTTCTGTTCTGGCCTCACTCTCATCTGTAGACATCAGAATTGTTTGTTTTCCTCTGCAAGTCCTATTTTTCCTTCAGAGGTGCTACTGGTTTTCTTCTGTCCAGAGTACTATGGAGACTGACTGTCCTCCCTCCATTACAGGTTGCAGAGGACCCAAACATCAGGAAGTTCTTTGTAGAACACTTTGGAATATGCAATATTCAATGTAATACTGTGTGAGTTTCTAGTGTAGATGAGTGCTTTAAAACAAGTGTATGGCCAGTGGATCTAAGATTGAGAAAATTTTATCCTTTAACTTACTATTATTTTATTTTTGAGAATCAGGGTTTGTCCCTCCTCTCCCCCTGAAACGAAAGCATGTTTTGATTTTAGCAGTTGGCTGTCTTAGTCCTGAGGTGGGCAGTTGGAGTCTCACAGGTACAGGAATAGTGAGACTGCAGAGGGCAGCTGGTTGTGTGGCTGCTGATGTCCTGGTGACTGTTTTTTCTCTTTGGTTCTGCTGTCTCCCTAGGCTTCCCTGGAATCCCAGCGAAGGCTTGAGGAAAGGCGGAGTGACCTGCCATCTCGTGCCAATGGGGAGGTGGTGTACCTTCGAAGGGGCTCTGCCCCCTTGAGAAAGGCTGAGGGCTGGCTCCCCCTATCAGGAGGTCAGGGGCAGAGTGAAGACCTGGACCCCCTCCTCCAGCAGATCCACAACATCACATCATTTATAAAGCAGGCCAAGGCCGCAGGCCGGACAGATGAAGTGCGCACCCTGCAGGAGAACCTGCGGCAGTTGCAGGATGAGTATGACCAGCAGCAGACAGAGAAGGCCATCGAGCTGTCCCGCAAGCAGGCCGAGGAGGAGGACCTGCAGCGGGAACAGCTGCAGATGCTGTGTGAACGGGAGTGGGAGCGAGAAAGGGAGCAGTTCCAGGCGGCATCCTTGCACACACGGACCCGGTCCCTGGACTTCCGAGAAATCAGGCCTTTTCAGCTGGAGCCCAGCACAGAGCCTTGCACCCACCTTGCTCATGCTTTGGATCTGGGTTCTTCACCAGTTCAGAGCAGTGCAACTCCCAAGACCCCTTCACCCAGCTCTGCTCTTGAGCCTGTCAGAGTGTGGTCTGGGCCCCCAGCCCTTGGCCAGGAATTCTTGCCCCCGAGCACCATGTCACAGCAACGCGAGGTGCCCTCCCTAAATCCCTTTGAAGAGGAAGACTCCGCTAGCCCTACAGCGGAGGGCTCTACCAGCCCTCGAGCTGCAGAGCCTTCCTGTGGCCCTCCGTCCCGCATCCTCAAAGAGTACAATCCTTTTGAGGAAGAGGAGGAAGAGGTGGCAGTGGCAGGGAATCCCTTCACTAACTCAAACAGCCCAGCACCCAACCCCTTCAGTGAGGAGGATGAGCGTCCTGTTCCTGGCAACCCCTTTGAGGAAGCCACCTGTACCAACCCCTTCGAGGTGGACAGTGACAGTGGGCCAGAGGGCGAGGAGCCCATAGAGGAGGAGCTCCTCCTCCAGCAGATCGATAACATCAAGGCGTACATCTTTGATGCCAAGCAGTGCGGTCGCCTGGATGAGGTGGAGGTGCTGACAGAGAACCTGAGGGAGCTGAAGCGTACTCTGGCCAAACAGAAGGGGGGCTCTGACTGGCCACTGGGCAGGTAGAGCACCTTTGCGTCCAGGGGCCTGGCAGGAGCGGGTTGGTGGAATTGAGGCAGGAGGCAGGATGAGAATTCAGATGCATACACGTTAGGGGAGGAAATCTGCTATTTCATGCTGTGTACTTGGAGGTTTTTTCACTACAATTGAAAAATAAATGGGATCTAGAACAGGAAGAATCAGCATTCATTTGCTGTTTTTCCTGGGCTTTTTTTTTTTTAAATTGGCTTTTCCCTTTAGAAGGGACTTAAAATTTTCACTACTGAGATATAACTAAATGCATTTCTGTTGGGTCCTGGTGTGCACCTCGTGGGTCCATTTGTCCTGTCTAGTCTTTGGTCATTATGAGTATTATAGGGCAGCCTTATAGCGGGCCCTCCGTTAGCCAAGACTGACAAGGTGGATTCCTTTAAACCGCACTCTCCTCTGGCAGAAGCCTGACCTCTTTAGGCTGTGGGTTCCTTTCCCTGGATCTTCCTCTGCCCTGCTGGGTACATCCTGCCTGTGCAAAGGAAGGGGCCAGGTATGCTAGGAAGGGGCCAGTTTGGACCCAGGAGATCCCAGCACTTTTTTTTTAAGAGGGTGAAGAGGATGAGGTTTCACCAGGGTGTGTTTCCCTCTCAGTTTAAGTTCTCGTTGGTCTCTTTTAGGAAGTTAAACTCCCAGTGCTGAGGTATCACTGTAGTCTGATCATGAGCTTTTTAGAAAATAGAGTGGTTAACTTTTTGGTTGATCAAGGTCGTATTATTTGGGAAAAGAGTCTCCATGCAAATGTTGTCTGTTCTCTCTGACTACTGGAACAATTGTCTGACCCTGGAGAAACCTCCTTGAGCTTTGGCAAAATGACTTGTAGCTGGGATTTTTTTAGAGGCCTTGTCTGTAATGTAGGAATGAGTGATCAGGAGGCTTTCTTGGAACATTGTCAGATAGAAACTTCTGTAAGTCAAAGGTAAATCAAAATAATTTCCAAGGCTAGTTGATCAGCCTTCTTCCCTTTTTGTTCATCCTGTCTTGACCTGTGGCGCTGGTGAGATTTTTCTTCCCAATGTTTAGCATTAAAAAACTGAAATGTTTGAAGAAGCACAACCCAGGACCATTCTAGTAACACGGCAGTTCTTGAACTCTTCACCAACTAAGGGCAAAAAGGGAAATTTGTTAATTTAGCTCTGGTGCTTTGGATTATGGGAACATAACCCTTAACTGACATCTGACATCATGATATCCAAGTGTGCTCAGCTTTGGGTAGAGTTCCTGTAATTACACTTGTTAATTAATGAACAATAACTGACCACTAGTCACTTTATACCCCTTAACTAACTCTGGGCCATACTCTCACTGGTTACTGATGTGAGAGCTAAACTTCATTTTGTTACATTCTGGGAAGACTCCTGTTGATCTTGGAAATGTTTGAAAAACATTGTGGTATAAAAATATTCTGTATTTGTGTTGACACTATTTACATTTCTTTAGCACCTGCTGGATCTTTGGGTTGAATGAAAAGGGGGTGTATAGGGATGTGGGAACGGGGAGTCAGTGGAAGGCTCTTTGCATTTGGGTTCTGTTCACAAAGGAACATGAGTGGTTACTAACGTCAGCCAGTACCAACCTTGCTGTCATGGTAGTTATGGGAAGTTGGCATTCAGGCATTTAAAACGCTGCCTCATACAGGCGTCATTTCTCCTTTGAGGTCCATGCCCTTCATGCTGTAATTCTGGAGGCTTCATGGATGGCTGTATGCTCCTCCCTGCTCACTCTGTCCTTTCTCTCTGACTGAAGGGGAGGAAGGTCTCTGCCAAAAAGCAGGTAGTTCCTAAATGCTGCCAAAGCTGCTGTACATCATAATTACTTTCCTTATGAGAATATATCTCTTTCAATTAGCTGCTGGTTTCAATTAAGACTAGTTTACTAAACATACCCTTTCTTTGAAATCAACCGTAGGTAGCAATCTGTACGTAACTAAACCTTGAGAACCACACATAGGAAACGTTTTTCAAACAAACAAACAAAAAAACCCGTACACAAACCCTCCTCCCGCCAAAACACTGAGTATCCTAGATCAAACTAAAACCCTCTGATATGATTGAATTCTTCTGTGGCCGTACTCTGCCACAAATTCTTTAATTTAATCCTTCCATGGCCCTCTTCTCCTATAATCATAGACCTGATAGCAGTTAGAATTCGCTATCCCTCAGCAGGACCATTTCCCAGAATTCACACAGGCACACGGTTGGATTTACAGAGGTGGGTTAACATCGGAAAAGACGGACTATGAATTATAATCACAACTTCAAGTTCTTGACTCATGTGGGTATTTCACCTCCTGCAGTCCTTCATCAGAAAACGAGCAAGTTCTTGATATAGCATTGGCAGATCTCCCAAAAACAGATCATATGTGGAAGAGACTTTGGCTTTTTCCTTTTATGCCTTGTTTGTATTTTTCCCTGTCTAATACACTAAGGATACTTATTCAGTGTATTTGCAACTCAATGTGTTTTTGTTGTTCAGACACTAAAATGTACCTGAGTCACCATGAGCCATGCGGTAGATTGAACATTTGCATAGTTAGCTTGGGACTCAAAGTGAGAAGCCGGGCTCTACCAGGTTAGAGTCTGTGGTGGCAGATTATGCTGGTCATCTGACAATGATGGAGACATTGATTTGCATGCACTGGGGCCTGGTATTGGAACCTTTTTTAAAAAATAAAATAACAAATATTAGTGGTTGGAGATGTGTATGTATATGTGCATGCGTGTTGCATGAGAGTCACCAGATAACATACCTTCCCCACTTTCTTCATGACCTGAGTATCAGAAGATAGCCCTAGCTCCTGTTTTACCTGTTGGCTTAAGGCCTCCAGACAGAATCAAGGTCACTGGGCTCTTACTGGGGAAATGTGAGTTCCAGTTCTGCCCTATCCCCAGTTACTCCTACAGCGTCAATTAGATGAACCATTTCACACAAGCACAGTGTAAACCTTTACAATCCTATTACCCCCATGGAAGAAGCAGGCCTAGCAAGGTTGAGGACCCTTCCCGCTGCCGTTTGTGTCAGGCCCCGCGGCAGTCGCACAGCCTGCATTTAGGTCTTCCAGCAGGCCCGTGAGGCACTTACTCAGGTAGTCATCTGACAAATGAAGGAAAAGGTTGAAAGAGGTTAGCCTGGCTGGAGTCGCACTGCCAGTCAGGGCTGGAGTGGGGATTTAAAGCCTGGTCTGCCTGACCCACGTGGCCCTAAGTAGCAAGGAGGGTTTGATCTGGGCCAGGCACAGTGGGAATGCACAAGCATTGTGTCTGGCCCAAAGGTGGCAGGGATGGGCAGGTTAGAGCTGCTGAGTGGGTTTCTAATACTGATATCACTTGAGCCTTTGACATGGAACTTCCTAAGACCTGTATAGATTACTAAACCAGGAGGAGATAATATTTAGTGCTCACTGTGGGCCAGACAGAATGCTACATATTATGCATGGATTACCTCACTTGATCTTCCCAACAACCTCAGTTTACAGATGAAAAAATGAACGTGGTGAGATTAAGCAGGCTCAGGGTTATACCACTGGGATTCCAGCCCAGGTCTGTCTGACTCCAAAACCCACACTGCCCTGGCCTGCTTTGTATATGGACACTCATGTGTCTAATGTGGGATGGGGTATTTCATCCATAGGAAGCGTTCCCTGTGGACTTTAAGGTCAAGGCTCTTCTGCCTAAAACTCTTCAGTGGCCTAGCACAGTTTAAAAAATCTGTCAGAACAAACTTCTGGTTTTAGTTCAGGCACACCAAGAGTTTGGAAGTTGTCATTCCTATCCTTATAAGAAAAAGCTGGACAAACTGAAAATCACTGACTTTTCTTGGACCCTCAGAGAACTGACTTCGCAGGACAAATGGCCACCCCAAAATCTGGAAAGAGGTAAGTTCAGAGTCACAGCCGAGGTCTGCTTACTTGGAGCAAAGCCATTGGAACCATACATGTTAGGAACATTTTGACAAATTGCTGGGGCTGAGTGTCCTGTGCTTTTAATCACATGGTTCTCCTGGTAACCAGCCCCCATCCCTAGGGGCTTTCCGAAAGTCACTTCATTTGCATAAACAGGTGTGTTTGAACTGGGGATTATTACAACAAAAGATACTCCTTTCACTTTTAACCAGAGCCATTTCAGGGAGAGGGACAGAATCCAGAGATTAGGACAAAAGATGCTTCTGTCTCATTAAGAAAATTACAGGCTTTTAGGAGCTCTAGCTGGGAACGAGGAACAGTGGCCAAATATACATATCCTATGTAATAAAAGCCTAATATGCTAAGTGTCTGGTCTTCCTGTGACCGATCAACTGTTCAACCAATCAAAGCATAATATGTTAATGATACGCTAAGGCCGCTCAACTGCTCGCTAGCACGTGCACTGACCACCAGGGGGCAGACGACCAGCTGACCAGTTCCTATGGTGTGCACTGACCACCTGGGGGATCGATGCTCCAACCAGTAAGTTAGCTCGCTGCTGGGGTCCAGCCGATCAGGACTGGGTGAGACGGGGCCAGACATGTCCTGGAGCCCTCCTATGGTCCCTCCCTGGCCCCGATCATGCACCAGTGTGGTCCCTCGGCCTGGTGTGCACCCTCTTGCAATCCAGGACCCTTTGGAGGATGTCAGAGAGCTGGTTTTGGCCCAATCCCACAGGCCACTCCCCTCAGGAGGGTGCCAGATGCAGGGCTCAGGGCTGGCGAGTGCTGCTGTGGAGGCACAAGCCTCCGTCGATCAGGACTGATTGGGCGCAAGCCTGCGGCAGGCGCAGTGGGGCTAGGATGAGTGGTAGCAGCAGGTAGGAACTGCAGGTGGTGTTGGACAGCAGGTTTTGGCCCGATTCCTGCAGGCCACCCCGAGGGACTCCACCTGTACACAAATTTGTGCACCGGGCCTCTAGTATTATAACTAGAGGCCCAGTGCACGAATTCGTGCATGGGTGGGGTCCCTCAGCCTGGACAGTGATCAGGGCTGATTGGGGCCATCTTGCCCAGTCCTGATCAGGGCCAATTGGGGCCGGTTGGCCAGGGGGAGGGACTGTGGGAGATTGGTTGGATTCGGGAGGTTGGCTGTGGGAGCACACTGACCACCAGGGGACAGCTCCTACATTAAGCATCTGCCCCCTGTTGGTCAGTGCACATCATAGCAACCAGTCAACTGGTTGTTCGGTTGACCAGTCATAATGGTTACTTAGGCTTTTATATATATATATAAGTATCACAGGGATAAGAAACATTTATGATGGTCACAGCCCAGGGACACAGGCCCACTAAAATACTGAGATTTTATTGTAAGACTATAGACCAATTTCTCTCTCCCCCATACCAACAGAGCTCTAGTAATAGCAGTGGGTTATAGCTAAAAGAGCTACAAAACACAAACTCTTTGAGGAGGACTATCTAAGGAAGCCCAAAGTCAAGACGGGAGGTAAAAACAAAGATTAGAGGAATTTGAAGTCTCTAGCACCTACAGCAAGCATGTCAAACTTGCAGCCTGCAGGCCGCATGTGGCCCACAATGAATATTTTTGTAGCCCAGCCAATATAACAGCATGTAAGAAACGTTTTAATAAAAAATTTCATAACTTAATTTTTACAATATCCTGTTATACATAATTAGTAATAACAAACTACAGTGTTCGCTAATTGACTGATTACTATCATTGTGTTGCATTCATTTCCCTTACTCGTCTTATGTGCAGGTGCACCATTTCTCTCCACTCATACTAGCAGTGAATATTTTAGTAACCAATTGCCACGTCATTAGTCTTGTACTGACTTGTTTGGTGTGCACAACAGAAAATATTTCACTTTCGAAGTACAAGAAAAATAAGTTTGCATTACCCGTATTAATTTTTGTGCAGTTACTCAGTGTCTGGTAAGTTAATGTTCAAGAAAAATACTAATTTTTATTAAAATGTATTATTTTAATGATTACTCATTTATTTCAGTCCTTTGTATTCAGCATGTCTCTATTGAAATAAACCTACATTTCTATGAAAATTGAAACTTTTGTTTTTTTGTGGCCCACATAAAGTTAAACCTTGTTTATTTGGCTCATGTTAGCCTTTGAGTTTGACATGCTTGACCTACAGCTACAGCAAACATTAAACAGTTCAACCCCTAGTCAGATTATCATAAATCCACATACCAAAAGCTTTCTTAAACCTTGGTTCCTATTACCCAATACGGCCAATATTGTCTGACTTTCAACCAAAACAACAAGCATGCCAAAAAAGGCAAACAAAACAGAAAGTCTGATGAGACAAAGTATCAGATTCAGATATGACACAGATGTTGGAGTTGTCAGGGAATTTAACATTATGTTAAGGAGTCTAATGGTGAAAGTAAATAATATGCAAAAACTGATGAGTAATGTAAGCAGAGATAAGAAAACTAAGAAATAGTCAAAAGGAAATGCTGGGGGGAAAAAACGAACAAAGAATGCCTCTGATGGGCTCATCAGTAAACAGGACACAGCTGAGGAAAGAACCAGTGAGCTTGAAGATAGGTCAACAGAAACTAGCCTACTGAAGTGTAAAAGAAAAAAAAGTATCAAAGACTCTGGGAAAATCTCAAAAGCTGTAAAATTGGGATACCAGAAGGAGAGAAAAAAATGAGAGAATGAAGAAGAAATATTTCAAACAGTAATAGCTAAGAACGTTCCAAAATTAATGACAGTCACCAGTAACCAGAGATCCAGGAAGTTCATAGAATACTGGGCAGCATAAATGCCAAACATCTACACCTAAGTGCATCTTATTCGAACTGCAAAAACCGAAGACAGAGAAAATCTTGAAAGAAGCTAGAAGAAAAAACTATTTTACCTATAAAGAAACATAAAAAGTACAGCTGACTACTGGTCAGAAACTATGCAAAAAGACAGTGGAGTGAAAAATTTAAAGCATTGAAAGATTGCCCCCCCTCCCGCCACGAGCCTAGAGTCCTATATCTGGCAAAATTATCCTTCAAAAGTGAAGGAGAAATAATGTTCTCAGATCAGTAACAGTAGTACTTCAGGAATGCATGTCATTCACGTTTGGCTTATGAAAAATATTGAGGTTCAGAGCTGTTAAGTGGTTAAATCTGGAAGGGGTATACCCAAAGTTTTCTTTTTCTTTTGCAAATCAGTTTTTTTAAGTCAATGTTAGATATTACATAGTTCGAACCTTTCATTTTGAAACTGGAGAAGCTGAGAGAAAGAAAACTGACTTATTTGAGGTTGAATAGAAAGTTATTCCCCTATTTGGTATCGGAACTCAGCTCTCCTGATTTATGTTCTGCTGTAACTTTGTTGTCTGTGATTGAGTTTGATCCTATTTAAAAATATTTTTCCTTGTGGGGGAGAAGACGACTACATAGAAAACGAAACATTTCAGGAAGAGGGTGCTCTAAAGCGAATCGGGACGTGCTCCCACCCCCAACCCCGTCTCAAAGCACCGACAGCCCAGGACTACAAGTTCCAGGCTACCCTGCGGCACCCGCGTTGGCTGCCGGGAGGAATCTCCTGTGAGTCTGCGCGGGAAGTGGAAACTGCGCGAAGGAGCTGCGGTGGAAGGTCTGCCGGCGGCGGCGTCTGTTGCTCTGGTCACTCCTCGCCGCTCGCTTCGCGGCTCGACCAGCGCAGCCATGCCCATGAAAGGCCGCTTCCCGATTCGCCGCACCCTGCAGTACCTGGGCCAGGGGGACGTGGTGTTCAAGGACACGGTGAAGGTCATGACGGTGAATTACAACACGCACGGGAAGCTGGGCGAAGGCGCCAGGTCAGTCCGCGCCCGTGAGGGCGTCCCCCGTGGTTGGAACAACGTGCTGGTAACGGGGAGACCCGGGACAGCGCTGAATTCTGGGTCTGGCCCCCGAGGTTGGTCCGTGTGACAGAATTGGAGGCTGGAGCAGCTTGGCCACGCCGTGCCCGCTGAGGTCGGGAGCGGAGGACCAGCCTCCCTCCCATCTTCCTCCCGGGGGGAGGACAAGGCTAAACCGGGGAGCCACGGCCTCCATAACCGCCTGGGACCCCCAGGCCGGCGGTGGGGAGGGGGCGGGGGCAGCCGTCTGAGTGGAGCCCAGCCCAGGGGCGGCGGACCAGTTCCGGTCCTTTTCCCACCTGCTGCTGGCTTTGGGCGCGTTGCTGTCGGTGTCCCAAACGGGGATGGTGCTGATGCTCCAGGGCCGCCGCGGGGATGCAGTGAGAGCGGTAACAGCTGCTGGTTGTATGTCTTACATGCGCCGCAGGTTCTGAAAGCTGCGTGTGTCTTCTCTTCATTGGTCTGTACAGAAACCCCGTTGTGCCCAGGAAATGCACAGAGAGGCTAGGCAACCTGCTACCTCTGCTCCGGGGAGAATTTCAGATTTGTCAATAAGCCAGAAGTTCAGATTCATATGTAAACCTCTGGTGTTTAAAAGGCCAACCACTCAAAATAAGTGTGCAAGTCCTATTCTCACCTGCTCAAGTATTTTAATGCCCTCTAGGTCAGAGGTTCTCAACCTTGGCTGCACATTAGAATCACCGGGGAATCTTTTTAAAATCCCGATTCCTCCGGAATGAGGCCCAGAAATCAGGATTTTAAAAAGATTCCCAGGTGATTTTAATGTGCAGCCAAGGTTGAGAACTACTGCTCTAGGTAAATAGGATACAGCCAGCCGTGTGTGTGTCTTGCTCCTAGTGGTAAGGCTTGCCTTTCCCACCTGTGCCCTTTTTGTAATTTCGTGCCCTTGGGTTTGAACCTGCCTGACCTGCACTTTCTAGCCCCACTTGCACTTTCTTTGCTTGTTCGTGTGACCTCAGCATTTCAGCTGTCCCTTCATTCCAAGTGCTAGTGGCCAGCACTACAGCCCCCGGGGTAGCCGTAGTCTGGGGCTGTCTGCTGGGTGTGTGGGGAACTGGTTTGTTCACTGAGGGCTAAGTCCCTACTCACCTGTGCCAGGTGTTCTTGCCTTTAAGATGCAGTAAGAGAAGTAACAGCTGTTAGTATTTATTGAGTTCTGCATTTGCCCTGAGCCTCAGGATTTAGGTAGATTGGCTAATTTGATAGTGACAGGACAGTGTAAAGAAGTCCAGATGCTAATCACAGCCCTGGTGCTTTCACTTACTAGTTGTTGACTGAGGGCAGTTTAATTTTTCTGACCTCCTTAGTTGTAAAACCCTGCCTGTGGGGATTTGAGAATAAAGTGCGGTGCTCAACTAGAAGTTGCCTACCGTTCTTAAGTCTCTGCCCATGCTGCAGCAAGAACCATTTAACGATCCTGTTGAATCTTTGTCCTAGTAGTTTAGGGTGTGAAAAATTCCCACGGGTATATGTCTTGGTTTATTTGCGATGTTGGGATTCTCTGCTGCGGGCCGGAATTGAGGTTAAGCCTAGGAAGGTAAATTCAGTCTTTGAGCTTCTAGCCCTGTGTGCTTTCCTGGTCTTCAAGGCTTATAAGTAGCACCCTATTTCCACTTCCTCCCCTAGAAGCGGCAGCTTTCAACTTGAACATTTAGAGTTTTACCTCCATGTAGTTAAGTAACTTCGAGAGCTCCTTCTCACTTTCTTAGCTTTAGACATGATCGTACCTTGTCACGATGGAAGATGTGGGTTTAGCTCTTTCACTACCATTGCCACTGCCCACCCTCAACACATGTATACTGCTCGGCCCTCCCACTCCCCAGTCTTCCCAACATAGTCATTTCAGAATTTGGATAGAATATTCAACGTTTAAATTAATATGATTTTGAAAACACTACATACAATTGAGCCAAATAGAGTACTATAATTATTTTTCCTTTTTGTTTTTGTAAAGATTTTTGTTTTCCCTGGAATTAATAATTGTCATTGTTTTTCTTTTGTTTCAACTCAGATTTTGCCCCAAGTATGGAAGTCTCCCCAAATAAATGGTCACATAGTCAGGCTTTCTGTTGATTCTGTCAAATTTATCTTCTTGAAAATAGACTTCAGGCTGCAGTCTGGACCACTTGTCTTACATTGTCATCTCTTTGGCATCAACATTGAAGCTCAGAGCACTAACTTGCCCTGGTCATACAGCTAGAAAATAGTAGTTGGGTGATTGTCCTTCTGTCCTATGTACCACTCACATCTTTCTGTCCTCTGGTGTATGGGGCAGGTTGCGAAGGGTGCATTTAAATTCAGATCATTTGGTCCCTGGCTGGTTTGGTTCAGTTGGTTGCACCGGAAGGTCATGGGTTTGATTCTCTGTCAGGGCATATACCTAGGTCGTGGGTTCGATCTCCAGTCGATGAGGTAACTGATCGATGAATCTCTCTCACATCTATCCCTCTCTACCTCCCCCTTCCTCCCTCCCCCACTTCCACCCTCTCTAAAGTCAATAAAAAATAAATAAATTCAGTTATTTGGGGAGCCTTTAATTAAGTGACTACTGACAAAGGTGTGGGGAGGATTGGGTAAAAGAAACCACAGGGAACAGTGCAAGACTCCAGGTCTAGGCTAGCGGAAGTGAGGGGAAGTCAGAGAGGGCTGCTTTGCCTGGGACTCAGCCAGGGGACATGCTGGTGAAATAAACACCGTGACTTTATTCCCTCCCAGTTTTGCCGGGGTGCTCCCTGTTGGCCAAATGCAACAGAATCCAGAGGGCAAGGAATCCTGTTTCCATAGCCCATGTAGGTTAACCATTCAATGCGGAGAGTAGGTGGAGAGAGATCCAAACACACAGTTGTATTGTAATGATTCAGTCAGACCTCTGTTGAGGGGCATTTAAGTTTTTTCTGTTCCTCTGCTGTAACTAATAATGCTATAGTAAACCCCACCCATATCTTTACGTTCAAATGTGAAAATATCTAGAAGCAGTAGAAGAATTGAGTCAAGATCGATGCTTTTAAAAGTTTGCTGGTTCCAAACTGACCTCTAAAGAGGTTAAACCAATTTATACTCTTCAGTAAATGTTTCCTCACTTCTGTAACTTTTTTTTTCAACCTTCACCTGAGGATATGTTTTATTAATTTAGAGTAAGAGGAAGGGAGAGAGAGAGAAACATTGATGTGAGAGAGACACATCGATTGGCTACCCCAGTATGTGCCCCAACTGGGGATTGAACCCGCAACCTAAGTATGTGCCCAATGGGAATCCAACCTGCAACCATTTGGCATATGGGATGATGCTTTAACTAACTGAGCTACCCAGCCAAGGAACTTCTATAACTTTCAAAAAAATCTTTAGCAATCTAAGGGGTGAATGCAATCATATATATATATATAATTTTTTTTTTTAAATATGGAACGCTTCACGAATTTGTCATCCTTGCGCAGGGGCCATGCTAATCTTCTCTGTATCGTTCCAATTTTAGTATATGTGCTGCCGAAGCGAGCATGGATACAATTATATTTTAATCTACATGACTATTGGAAAGATATTGAGAATCCCTTCATATGATAGGTTTTTTGGCTGTCTGCCTATTTGTGGCTTTTGCCCTATGTTCTTGTTGAACTGTAAATCTTAACTAATGATGGGTAAAACTCTATGACAAGGAAATTCGATTTTTTTGGGGGACAGACTGGCAGGGAGAGAGAGGGAGTGAGAGAGGAAGAGAGATTGAGATTTGTTGTTCCATTTGTTTATTCATTTGTTGATTCTTATATGTGCCCTGACCGAGGATCAACCTGCAACCTTGGTGTATCAGGATGATGCTCTAACCAACAGAGCTACCTGGCCAGGACCTCATAAGTTTTAATGTAGTTACACTTATATTTTAAATCTTCTAAGTTGAAAGGTTTTTCCACTTCTAGATTATAAAAATATTCTATTATTTTTATTGTATATTTTTAAATTTTTGTACAATCTACATGAAGTATATATATTCAGTGAATTCTACATATGAATACACCTGTGTAACCATCATTTAAATAAAGATCAAAGATATTCATAGTTCCATTTTTACATTTATACTTCTGCTTTGGTGAGTTTTAGGTTAGTGTGCAGTGTGAGGTAGGGATATAGATTTCTTTTCCCTCAGATGGCAAACCAGGAGTCTGAATACCCACACTCAGAGAACACACTAACATTCCTGAAAGCTGCTGCTTTTCTCAGCCTTTTTTGGGAGGCAGAGTCCTCTGAGAATCTGATGAAAGTTCCAGACCTTTTCCCTTTAAAAATGAATACACAGGTATGCAAAATTTTAGGTTAAAAACTCTTGTTTCATGGGCTTAATTTTTCCTCCTTTGCAGGAAATTTGTGTTTTTCAACATACCTCAAATCCAATACAAAAACCCTTGGGTGCAGATCATGATGTTTAAGAACATGACACCATCACCCTTCCTTCGATTCTATTTAGGTGAGTAAGGGGGCCTCTGCCGGGCTCCAGGACTGTTTCCTCCCATCCGTCCGTCCTTTCATAGCAGTCAGGTGACCTGAGGTACAGGCTCTTGTGAACTAACATTGCTCCTGTCACCTTGGCTTCAATGGCCACTGAGATCTGGATGCCTCTTCCCTCTCCTTTGCCAGACTTGTTTCCTGTTGCCTTCATATGCCTCACACCACACAGACTAAGTTTTCAAAATTCCCTTGCCACACCTTTGTTTATACCTTTGCTCATGCCAGCCCTCTGATGAAATCCCCGTTCTACTTTCTTTGCTTATTTAATTAAAAAAATAATCCTTTAAGACTCATCTTGAGCACCACCTCTCCCAGGAAACCTTCCCTCTCCTGTCTCCCAAAGCCCCTCTTAGGCTGGCCACATTCTCTTGAAAAGTATATGTCTGTGTGTGTCCACCTGGGACCAAGTGAACTTTATTCAGTTAAATATGGCTTAGTACCCAGAAGTCAGAAGACCAGAGATTTTGGTCCAGCTCTCAGTGATTCTGACCCTGAGCAAGAAACATTCCCATTGCTTTATTTCTTAAGTAAAGGCATAACATCTACCTTACATGGTTAAGAGAATCAAATGAAGTCTAGAATGGGAAATGCTTTGGGGAACAAAATAATGTTCTTCCCATTTTATTTCTGGCCCCAAATGGCCAGATTATTTAGCAAATATGCTAGGTACCCAGGTACTGTTTTAGGTACTTGGGTGTCAGGGAGCCATACAAAGATCTCTGCCCTTGTAGAGATAATACTCTAGCAGGAGAGAGAACAAGAAACTTAACAAGACAGTATGCTAGAAGGTAAGTGTGATGAAAAAAAATAGAGCAAGCTAAGTAGGTGAAGAGAGTAGGGGTGGTATGACAATTTTGTGTATATATTGTGTTTGCATTGAAAACAATTTATTGAGGTATAATTTACTCATAATAAATGCACAGGTTTAATGTGTATAGATTGATGAGTTCCTACAGTTGTGTTTTATGTCACCACTTTCCCAATGAAGATGAAGAATACTTACTTTTATTGATTAAAAAAATATATATGTACTTGTTATCAACTAAGGATATTTTTTAGAGTGGAATGGAGGGGGAGAGACAGAGAGCAACATCGATGTGAGAGAGATGCATCTATTCGTTGCCTCCTGGACATTCCAGGACTGGCTCATGGGATCGAGCCTGCAACTGAGGTACATGCCCTTGACCAGAATCCAACCCACGACCCTTCAGTCCGTGGGCCGATGCTCTAAACACTGAGCAAACCAGCCAGTGCTTTAAATATATTTTTATTGATTTCAGAGAGGGAGAGGGGGAGAGAGAGAGAAAAACATCATTGATCAGCTGCCTCCTGTACACCCCCTACTGGAGACCGAACCCAAAACCCCGGGCATGTGCTCTAACTGGAAATCGAACTGGGACCTCCTGGTTCATAAGTCGATGCTCAACCATTGAGCCACACCGGCTGGGCTATTTTTATTTATTTTAAATTTTTTACTTTTATTTTGAGAGAGACAGAGAGAAAAACATCGATTGGTTGCTTCTTGCATGCGCCCCTACCAGAGATTGAACTAGCAACCTAGGTATGTGCCCTGACCAGGAATCGAACCTATGCCTTCTGGTATACAGGATGATGCTCCATCCAACTGAACCACTCTGGCCAGGGCTCAAGAACATTTCTATTACTCCAGAAAGTTCTCTAGTGCTACTTTCAAGTTAATTCCCCATTCCACCAGAAGCAACCACTGTTACGATTTCTTTCACCATAGTTTATTGTTGTTTCAGAATTTCATATAAATAGAATCTCACAGTATGTACTTTGTGCCTGGCTTTTACTCATGTTTTTGTGACTTATCCATGTTATATGTATCAGTAGTTAATTCATTTTTATTGCTAAGTAGTATTTCATTATAGGAATACACCACAGTTTATTTATCCATTCACCTGTTGATGAACACATGAGTTTTTATTAACTACCAAGACAGAAATATGAGATTTATTAGAGATAAAAGAGGGGTGGGTAGGGAAAATCTTCATATGGCAAAGCAGGTCTGACATCTCGAAAAGGAAAGGGAAAAGGAAGGCGGTCTGGACAGGAGGCACCTAAGATGGTAGTGGAGCTCTTAGGAAGTCTGGGCCGGCCCCAGGGGAAGTCGTAGCTCCACTCGGAGCAGAGATGGCTAGGTCCTAGACCTAGGCCAAGGAGAGCCTGTGCGTGGCTCTGGTGGGTTCCAGAAACAGCAGCTGGGCTCTCAGCTGGCTGCTCCTTGCAGGAGGGCTTCCTCAAAGGAAGCTTTGAGTAGTGCGCCTCCCTGGCTGTGAAGGGTTGTTCCAGGTTTTGGCTACTAAGATAAGGTGCTTGTAGTATCTTCTCAACACAAGTCTTTGTGGACCCAGGCGCTCAGCTCTTCAGAGCCTCTGCCTCATGCTGAAGAGATGTGTAATGTTCTTAGAAACTGCCTAATAGGTTTCCAAAATGATTGAGCCATCTCACCTCCAGGCAGTAGTTTGATTACATGGACCTTAAAATCAGAGAACCTCTCCGGCTGTAATCAGAGGTCCATGTGACTATGAAGAATGGCCAGATATAAAACATTGCTGGCTTTGAAGATTGAGGAAGGGGCCATAACCAAAGAATGTGGTTGTGATTCCACTCATATGTAATGTTAGAACAGGCAAGTCCATAGAGACAAGACAGTGTTTGCTAGGGGATGGGATTGGGGTGGTGTGGGGTATAGGACATGACTGCTTAATTGGCAAAAGAGCTTGTTTGGGGTGATGAGAAAGTTCTGGAACTAGATAATGGTGATAGTTTTACATTAGTTTTACATTTTGAATGTACCAAAACCCACCAAACTATACACTTTAAAATGGTGATTTTTACGTCATGTAATTTACCATATACAAAAGAATTTTGGCCATTCCTGTGGGTTTTAATTGAAATTTTAATTTGCATTTTCTCATAACTTTTTATTAGCTATTCAAATCTGTTTTGTAAAGAGTATAATTGTGTCTTTTGTCCGTTTAAAAATTTTCTGAACTCTCATCCTCTTTCACTGACCTGTGTCTGTCCTTACACTAGTGCAGTCCTAATATCGCACACCTTGTTTTTTGTAGTCTTATAAGTGCTCAGATCAGATAGCATAAGTCCAACTTTGTGCTTTTGCTCCCCACTCCCTTTGGCTAGTCTGGGTTCTTTGCATTTACATGTAAACTTTAAAATTGGGCAAGTTTCTGGAAAAAAGCTTGTTGGGATTTTGATTGGAATTACATTATAGATCATTTTGTGGCGTATAGATATTTTAACAATATTGAATTGAGTATGTTTTGTGACTATAGTAAATGGTATTTTTAAATACCATATTTCATTTCAGTTTTTTGGTTAGTATAGTTGATTTTTGTTGTTGTTAATCCTTACCCGGGGATATTTTTCCATTAACTTTTAGAGTGGAAGGGAGGGGGAGATAGAAACATTGATTGGTTGCCTCCCACACGCATCCTGAGTAGGGCTCAGAATCGAGCCTGCAACGGCGTGTATGCACTTGACCAGAATTGAACCTGGGACCCTTCAGTCCGTGGGCCGCCAAACCGGCTAGGGCTAATTGATTTTTGTATATGGAATGTGTCTTGCAACCTTGCTTATAAACACATTATAGTTTATTTTCTAAATTCCTTAGAATTTTCTACATACACAATCTTGTCATCTGCAAATGCAGTTTTATTTCTTCCTTATCAATTTTTTTTTGTCTTAATTCATTGGCTCAATTGGCTATACTGTTTTGCATTTTTACCAGTAATGTAAGAAAGGTTCCATTACTCTGCGCCCTTACCAGTACTTAGTATTGCCCATTTAAAACATTTTTAGCCACTCTTAATAGCTCATTGTTATGACTAATGACTAATTTTGGTTAAATGTTCATTCACATATTTTGTCCATTTTTTAGTTGGATTGTCTTGAGTTCTTTATATAGTTGACATACAAGTCTTATCAGATATATGCATTCTGTACATTATCTCCCAGTCTATTGCTTATGGTGCCTTTTGAAGAACAAAATTTTTGGATTTTAAATTCAGTGTATTAGGTTTTTTTCTATAATCATGTTTTTGATGGCATATTTTTGCCTAGGTTCTAAAGATTTTCAAGAAGTTGTAGGTCCCTGGTCCATTTTGAGTATTTTGTTTCTTTTTTTAATGTTGGGAGTAAAAGTCTAAATTCATTTATTTGCATGTGGCTATCCAATTGTCCCAGCACCATTTGTTTAAAGGACGATTTTTCCTCACTGAATTGTTTTGGCATCTTTGCTGAAAATCAATTGACCATAAATATAAAGGTTTATTTCTGGACTCAATTCTGTTCTATCACTCTGTAGTCTGTTTTTGACTTGATTACTGTAGCTTATAGTAAATTCGAAATTGGAAAACGAATGTCCTTCCTCCATTTTCTTTTCAAAATTGTTTTGCATGAATTTTAGGCTAAATTTATCAGTTTCTACACAAACACCTGCTGGGATTTTGATAGGGATTACATTGAATCTATAGACCAGTTTGGGGAGGATGGCCATGTTAATGACATTGAATCTTTCTATCCATGAACATGGAATTTTTCTATTAAAGTAGTATGCTTTTGTACATACCTAAAATTTATATCTGCTCATGTATAAAGAAATATCGGAAAATAAGTGGTAGTATATAATGGGTTATGTAAACAAATATATTTACTTTATTGTTAAAATATTCCTCCTTAGCAAACAGCAGATCACCGTTTGAGGCTGCGGAACGCTCTTCTGAGTTCTCAGCCACACCCCCTTTGCTTTCTGTTTTCAGATACTGGTGAGCAGGTTCTCGTGGATGTAGAGACCAAGAGCAATAAAGAGATCATGGAGCACATCAAAAAAATCCTGGGGAAGAATGAGTGAGTTGCTGGGGTTGACCTGGAGGGGAGCAGAGGTCTTAGCCCAGAGATTTTGAGAGAGGAAAGGGACAGGTTCTCTGACTGTGAACCAGACACTCACCAGAGTGTGGGCTGGAGAGTCCGTTCCATCTGACTTGGCTGTTCACCAGACGTGTAACAGTAAGTCATCCATCCCTCCTGGTCAGTGGGAAGCTGAGATGCAGCTAAAATACTTGCACTGTGTGGCCAGAAACATACCCGTTTGGAGATGGTAGGTGACCAACCCTGGGGCCTGCCGTGACACATCCCTTTTCTCTCCATGGAGGAAAGAAGGGAAGGGAAAGAAGCGGAATATCTTTGAGAAGGCACCTGGAGGCATTTCCAGGCCCCTTTATTCTGATGGTCTCATTTGTCAGAAATGGGGCTGCCCCTCAGCTGTCTGAGGGCTGACTATTCCTGTGCTGGCCTGGCGTGAGTGTGCTTTCCAAGTGCCTCCTGCCCTGGGCCTGACACTGCTCACATACTGAAGGCCTTCCCTGTGGAGGGCAGGGATAGGTTTGAGGAGTGAGAAGCGTGTTAGAAGACACAGGAGATCCAAGTCTCCCCGGCTGAGGATGGCGCCCACTCCGAGAAGTTCTGTGCTTCGCAGAGGCTCAGAGCACTGTTGCCAACACCTTGTTGCTGTCTGTGCTCTTTGGCAGGGAAACCCTCAAGCAAGAAGAGCAGGAGAAAAAGCAGCTTTCTCATCCAGCCCACTTTGGACCTCGAAAGTATTGCCTGCGGGAGTGCATCTGTGAGGTGGAAGGGCAGGTGCCCTGCCCAGCCCTGGTGCCCTTACCCAAGGAGATGACAGGGAAGTACAAAGCAACTCTGAAAGCCAGTGCCCAGGACTAAGGCCCCAGGCCTGTGGGCGAGGGTTACCTTGGCCACAGGGAGATCCTGGTTCTGTCCCCAGAGACTCTGCCAATAAAATGCTCCTTAATTCCAGCAGCATGGTGTGTATCCAGTCTGCGAGGCACAGGAGGAAGGCCTGCATGGGAACAGGACTTTGGGATTAGGAAGGTGTAGGGCCACAGCCTGTTGACATCTTGGTCTTGTGGCTTTTTCCCTGTCTCCACTGATTTTGACTCCTCTTCCAGATCCTACTCTGAAAATTCAGTTGAGTCTGGTTGGAGCTAGTTGTGGCTGGCAGTGTGGATGTTCCCCTCCATTCAGGCTCTCTGGGCATCTTTCAGAAATCCCGGGGCAAACCTTTGTGTAGTGCTCACTTTTAAATTAAAGCCAGCTGACCTTTTCCTCCTGAGGGACCTGGCTGTGGAAGCTGCCTGTTCACCTTCTTGCTTGTTCAGTTTTTTTTTTTTTTAAATATATATTTTTATTTTTTTTACAGAGAGGAAGGGAGGGATAGAGAGTTAGAAACATCGATGAGAGAGAAACGATCAGCTGCCTCCTGCACACTCCCCACTGGGGATGTACCTGCAACCAAGGTACATGCCCTTGACCAGAATCAAACCTGGGACCCTTCAGTCCACAGGCCGACGCTCTAGCCACTGAGCCAAACAGATTAGGGCACTTGCTCAGTTCTTGAGTTAAAGTTTGGAAGAGGGTGTGAGGTGTTACTTAGTAGTTCTGCCTAGTAGTCCTTTCCTCCTTAGGACATGGATATTGCTGCTACTTGAGTTTTGCTGGTTTTAGCGCTTGGAGACACCAAAGCCCTCTAGGGTCAGTTTAAGAATAGGTTTACTTAATCAAAAGTAAAGGACCAGCTGGAAACAGACCCGTGGAAACACAGACCAGGAGACTTTGACCAATGGATGCAAGCAAGAAGGTGGGCTTATGGGGGGATGAGGGCACATTTGTAATACCTTAACCAATAAAGAAATTAAAGATTAAAAAAAAAAAAAGGTGGGCTTACAAGAGCAGGTTTAAGGTCTGAGTTCCTCTCTGATGGGAGCTTTGGTCAAGGCATAACACTTGCTGTAAAATGGGAATAAGGGCATTACTCCATGAGGTAAGTTAGTTATGGGAAATGAATGTGAAACTAAAATGTGTGTTTTGTTGTTAATCCTCATCCAAGGATATTTTTTCCCCCAATGATTTTTAGAGAGTGGAAGGGAGGGGGGAGAGAGAAACATCGATGTGAGAGAGACACATCGATTGGTTGCCTCCCACATGTTCCCCAACTGGCCGGGTAGCCAGCCTGCAACGCAGGTCATGCCCTTTACCAGAATCAAACCCGGGACCTTTCAGCACACAGCTGTTACTCTTTCCACTGAGCCAAACTGGAAAGGGTAAAATGTGTTTTATTTGAATGTTGGGAGATTATCCCATTAAATTGAGAAACCTGGCTCTTTTCACATTTGATGCTCAGGTTATGGTTTCCTGTGGTTTTGCACCAGACCTGTGTTCAGGGTGATAGCCTTGGAGGGATTAAGGGGAGGTCTGTTTGGGTCTAATGTGTAACTGGCAGGTTTACTTCAATTTTGTTTAATTGAAATTCAAAATCTTGGTGCCCTCTCCCCATCACCATTTTGAAGGGTGGCTAGAAAAATTTATCCTCCATTCTAATCCCTTGTTTGAATTCCTGCAGTGTTTCTAACAATCCCACCTGCTGACTGCAGCATGGCCTTCACACCAGCTGATTGGACTTCCTACTGGGCCTCTAAGCCTTTTCCGAGAGTTTGTTCCTTTTGGTTTGTCTCCACAGCTGGTGAGACAAAGGGCCTTAGGGAAGTATTCCTTCCCTACTTGGTCCACAGAGCCCAGAAAGGTAGCTAGCCAGGATTGCCCCAAACCAAGCTAGTGACCCTTCTTTAGAGAGAGAATAAATGTCCAGTGCCTGATGGGAAAGCACCACCATTACTGTTTTTTCATGGGCTATTTCATAGACAGATAATGATTCATGAAACGAACACCACTAGGGGGCATTATCTCTTTAAACAGTTATCTTCCATTTCCTACTTCAACAATGATAAAAGATTTTAAAATTTACAGAAATGGGAGGAACTTATTGGAGATGATTGCTATGAGGATTTTTATAATTCATCTAGTTTCTTAATTTTATTCACATAACCAATGCTCGCCAGATGGTTTTCAACCTTGTTCTGCTGAAGTGACCAATTTCCTTTTCCTTTTGAAAGCTATTTGGCTGCCAGTGGGTTCTGCCAAGAATCTTGACTTTGGACCTCAGAATCCTCACCTGTAAAATGAGTCAGATGACTTCTGAAACTTTAAGAATATGTCTGCTCTGGTCCGAGACCTGGCTCTGTGTCTGTGATGGCAGTCTGTGAGTTTTGGCAACCCAAGCCCTGTTCCAGAAACAAGTCCAGTGAGCCATCAATGGATGGGGCTAAGTCACTTTTGGCTAAGGTGAGATGAGAGCTACAGGGTTCTGACTACAGTGGGGCCTTGACTAACAAGATTTTTGAGATACCAGCTGTCTCTCGGCCGATTTTTTGCATTGAGTTGACAGAGTAATTTGAGTTAACGAGCTCGGTCTTGGAATGAATTAAACTCGTAAGTCAAGGCCCCGCTGTACTAAGGTGTGTCCTCACCACCTACTCGGTGTTTAGGTGAGAGCGCTCTGGGGACTCCTGGTGGTCAGGCATTATTGTTATTACTATTGTGAGAAGAAAGGATAAACAAGATGCACATTAGTCTTTAATTAACTTTTAATAGTATAAACCTCATTTAGGTAGTAGTATTAAGCCACAACAATGCCACATTGAAACAGCATTTAATAAAATGCATAAAGCTAATTCATGCACTGCAATACTCTATATACAAACACAACAATGCAAATTCTTCTTCAAGACTGAAGACATTGATTAGATATAAAATTCAATTAAAAAAGAACATGCTATTTTAAATGCCATCACATAAAGCTGATTTCAAGCTACAGCTTTTAACAGGTTTTAAACCTGGAATTAAAATGTAATGGCATAAACAATATTTTCTATATTGAGAAGGGCAGAGGGTACAGAAACGGTCCCAAGAAAATCTAACACCCAAGTTTTCCTTTAATGTCTTTTAAAAGGCTGGTAATACTTAGCTACATTTTAACAGTTCCAAACTACAGGTAAAAACTATGGTTTGTACTATGAAAAATGTGCAGCTTTTCAGTTATAAAACTAGTTGAACACTGGTTTACAAGATCATTGGGGGGATATAGAAAAATATTCCAGCACTTGAGTTGTACGTGGCAGCAGCAATTGAGTCCATGAATGCTCTTGTTAAAATGACAACTGATTATACTTTCCTAGAGAAAAGCCATTTATTTTTCATGTAAAGTCTATTTCCAAATGTTATCCAAATATTAAGCTTTACCACAACCTGACAATTGATAAATGTTGCTGAGCATTTTTTCAGCATTTTTATAGCACTTTTTTTTCTATTATATATAGTATACATTTTGAAACACCAAAATTATTGGCTTAATCGAAAGTATAGCTGGGCATTAAAAATATCTCAGACTTTCCCTTTAAACTGTTTAGTTTTGGATTGCTGCTAATAGCCCCAAATGAAAAATTTTATTTTAAAGATTCACTTAGAGACTGTCAAGCTTCCATTTGTATTATTTGAATTGGAAAGCTACCTTCAATAGTGATTGTCACGACAGGCAAGGACATGGGAAAGGTGACAATCACTGCTGGGTGGCCAGTGAAGCAACAGGAGCTTTACAACACAGATGGGGAAGCTGGAGGCTGAATGGCCCAGTCTCACAAAAGGCACTGAGTACTATGGTCTCAATGAAGTGTTTTCAAACATTTCAATAGATTAAAAAAAACCCCACCACCACCACCTGTGGATTATGTTTTTGCAGTTATCCAGTGATCTCTTTCAGCAGGCCAGCTTTCAGCCTTCCCATCAGTCAGGCCCCTGTGCTCACCAGGTCCATGAGCAACTACAGCTGGGCTGGGGCCTGGCTCCCGAGCGCTGTGTTTCAGTTTAAAGTCCGATTTAGGGGGGAAATTCACCAGAGTAGAGCTGGACATTTGGCATCTGTAGCTTTAAGGGCATGCATATCCATATTAAAATGCAATTTTTATCTGAGAGTTTAAAATCATAATTTAGAGAAAGTCAGTGGATTTCATTTGCATGCTATAGTTGGAGAAGTAATTTAAGATTTGTAACTTATGCCATAAAGTTAGCCATCAACAATTATGCTTATTTTTAAAGAATGCTTGGTCGGTTGTCTCCCCCCCACAACTTGCGTTAGATGGGAATTTGTTTAGCCACAGTGCAGGGCCCACCGTCTGCTGAGTCCAGAGCAAGTGGGAAAAATTGGGAGCCAGGCTCCATGACACAGACCATTCTGAAACTGATCACATGACAAGGAGTCCAGGGAAGGCCCACAGCTTGACCTACCAAGTTCCTTCCAGTTAGGCCATAAAGAGGTGTGTGACAACTAGGTTAAAGATCCCCACCTAGTTTCTGGACGTTAGGATAAACTGTCTTCCAGCTTCCTAGCCATTGTCTCACACTGGAGAATACATAGCAATGTCATTGTTAGGACCTTTCTGTCTGGAACTTTCCCTGGTACAAATTGAACATTTTAACTTCATGGCCTTCCTCAGCCAGACACACCCAAAGGAAAATGGAGTTAAAATCTTGGCAAATCCATCCTGCTGAGGGATCTTGGAGTACCCACATCAATTTAGTAACTCTTATCATAGATTCTCTTTAAAACAAGGAGAGTTTGGATACGTGGCTACATGTCTGTATACATAATATACACCTATGTACACATACACACTATATATATACACTGTACATATACAGAAGATATAAACACATGTACATTCATTTAGTCATACAAGTCGGTAATCTGTACACACACAATGTG